CCGGCCACGACGCCGTAGCCCTGGTCGGAGGCGCCACGGCGCTAGTGGGCGACCCGAGCGGCCGCGCGGGGGAGCGGGAGCCGCTGGACGCCGAGGCGGTGGAGCGCAACGCGGCGAGCATCGGTGACAGTCTCCGTCGAATCGCCAGCAACCACGAGGCTCTGCTGTGGCGGCCAGAGAGCCAGGGACCTCCGGGAGGCAGGCGGAGGCAGCTGGGCGCCTTTGCGGTGCTCAACAACGCGAGCTGGTACAGAGAACGCGACGTGATTGGGTTCCTGTCCACGGTGGGAAGACACTTTCGCATGGGCACCATGCTGAGCCGGCACAGCGTGCAGTCGCGACTCAAGTCTCCCGAGGGGATGAGCCTCGCCGAGTTCTCCTACCAGATGTTCCAGGCGTACGACTTCCTGCACCTGCACCGCGAGCTGGGCTGCGTGGTGCAGCTGGGAGGCGCAGATCAGCTCGGCAACATCATGTCGGGGCAGGAACTCATTCACAAGTACGTCGGCGGCGTCGTCTTCGTCACACCACCTCGCGGATCGGGGAAGAGACTCCGTGGAATTTGTCGAAGTCGAATTCTGCGTGGAGGATAAGGCACTTCTCGTGCCCTGCTGCACGTGTGCTATGGGGAATAGAGATGATGATGATACAGCTTTTGTGAATTTCGGAATGGTTTTCAAATCGTATTATTTTGTATCGAATTAAAGAACAAGCAATTGCTGCCGCCCCCCCCCCCCCCACCTTTTCAATCCACTAGTGGATGAAGGCTTTCTCACGCCGTGTTGGTCACGGGTGTTGGCCACACTTAACCACGTTGATCCTTGGTGAGGGCCCCCCAAGACGAGTTCGCTGTGGCCAGGGATCGAACTCATTGCCAGGTTCATCGCGCGATGCCCGAGGCACCGTGCCCACCGCTCCACCACTCTTGCTCGAAAAATGTGTCTTGAGAGTTAACAATTGATATGACTGATACGAATTAAAACTACCAAAAAATGGTGTTACAATAAGACCGGGACACATGCACATCCTTAACTTTAAAGCAGACAATGCACGGGAAGGGCATTAACCTACTCCTTCATCACAGTCGTTCCCATCTATTGTTTCCTCCATTCTTCTCCACTATCTCATCACCCCGCTCGCAGGGTGACCGGCAAGGAGGTGTACGGCATCACGGTGCCACTGATGACGAGCACCACGGGAGACAAATTGGGCAAGACGGCGGGCAACGCTCTGTGGCTCAACCGCGACAAGACGTCGCCCTTTGACCTGTACCAGCATTTCATTCGCCTGCCCGACGCAGAGGTCGAGAGGTCAGTGGCATCGTTGTAAAAGATGAACGCTGCTCTAGATAGGCTGCGTACTAGGGAATGTATGCATACAAATGATAAATTTCGCGTGTCATTTAGAATGATACATATTAGCTTTGCTGCATAGCTTGGGTTCGCATGGCAGAATAAAACTTGGTGCTCGTTTCATTGGGGTTGTCTTGTGTAGATCTCGGCCCCCGTCCATGAAAGTGTGGAGTTGATGTCCGCGCTCCTTGTCCCCAGGTACCTGAAGCTCTTCACGTTTCTGCCGCTGGCCGAGGTGTCTCACGTGATGGAGCGGCACCGGGAGACGCCAGATAAGCGCGGGGCTCAGCGCCGTTTAGGCAACCGAGGTCGTGAAGCTCGTGCATGGCCAAGGATGGGTTGGAATCCGCAATCAGGTTAGCAACAGCGAAGATATTAAGTGTGCAGGCGGTGCAACTGCACCCAGGCCAACAGGCCACAGGGTACCAGGTGCTGGGCTGCATTCCCTGCATCAGGGTCACTGATGGCATTACTGAAACACTCCCACCTCTCCGCTCTCGTCTCACTCGATTCCCCTCCACGTACTCTCCTCCACTCGTAACCAATCCTCATGTCCGCACCACCTAGGTGCACCAAAGTGCTGTACGAGGGCAGCACGCAGGACCTGGAGGCGATGGACGACACGGAGCTGCGGGAGCTGTTCCGAGAGTCGTCCTTCACGGAGCTGGTGCTGGAGCCCGGCACGTCGCTGCACGAGATGTGCCTGAGGGTACAGGCGGTGCCCGAGGGCAGCCATGGGTACGCGGGAGCAGTCGCGCGTCACCTTGTTCGTTGGGCACGTAGCGATAAAGTGGATGCGTCGATTTAAAAAGTTCCACCGCACGCGATGAATGCTTCAAGGCGGGGCGGGTGTTTTAAGAATAAATTACGTTCCGATTAATTCGTGTTGCACGTGATTGGTACCTGCATCCATTATGGATTATATGTGAACAACTGAAGTACCAAGTCAAAAAAATATAGAATGACAAATCGAATTGTGACCCCCCCCCCCGCCACCCCGTGCATTGTGCAGGGCAGGGAATCGTGGTGGTTTATGTTTCTAGTGCAGCACTTCGGAAGCAAGGCCACACATACCAATGCAGAACCCTCCTCAAAACGTTTTAAGACTTAGTGAGGGTGTCTAAATAAAATAAAAACATTGTAATTGGGGGGAGCATTTCAAATCACTGGCCGCAGCTAGCATGGCATTGGGGGTGGGGGCGGTGGGGGGATACCGAGGCCGAGCAGTAGTGCGTTGTCACTTGTCGCAGAGGTGCATGTTTCAATCTACGAGTGTAATAACCGTAACGATGCCATGCGCTGTCTGCTTCACATTGAACGTTAAAGATCTCCTGACATCGTTAACGAGTAGGCCAATGTGCAAAATTAGAAAATAACTAATTTCTCAATTAGGATTATAGAGCAACCATAACACCCCCTACTACATCTGAACCGGTCCAATGTGCTGCTCGTGCGCGTTTTAATTCGCAGCCTGCAGATGATCGAGAGCGGCGGGGTGCGCGTGAACCACGAGCGGGTGACTAACCCGGACCAGGTGCTCGTGCTGGGTCAGCACATCCTTCGCAACGGCCTCTCCCTGCTGCGCATCGGCAAGAAGAACTACTACGTCGTCAAGTGGCTCAACGTGTGAGTGCGTACACGAGCGTGTAATGAGGGCCGGCCTTCTTCAGTGTCCACGGTTCGTGCCGACTTGTGGCTGTCGTCCGCAAGTGAGCTGCCTTGGCCGTGGACCCAGTTGCAAGTTCGACCCCCGTTTGAATGTTACCTGCTGTTGGACGGGAAATTTCTCTACGCTCACCTGAAATACTATGATCTTTTCCATTTCGTTCAAGAAGTAGAGAAGAGTCGGTGTCGTCCGTGCACTCGTACGTGCAATTGGCAGGTCTCGTCGGTGGAGCCGAGCCTGTATTGGAAATTCTTCATGGACGTTCAAACGAGTGTACAGAAGATGAAGCTCGGTTTAATACTGGATGGTGGTGATATTGGGGCTTATTCAGTCCTAACTAGGATATGAATTCATGATTTGGTGCTCAAATGCTGAAAGTGATAACATGCCTGGGAAGGAAAGTCATGAATTTTCACTGAATGCATGGCTGTTGGTGCATTTTAGATTGCATCTTAAAATATATCTCAAAAGATTGGAATATAAAAAAATTGGTTTGAATTCAGGCTTCTGTTGATCCTCTTAACTTGACTTCCAGTTAAGTTTTACTTTGAAGCGGTAAATTGACATTGTTAAACTATTACCCATTCACAAGTTAATATATACCCATAGTACACAAGTACCCTTGTGTATTGTACAAATAATATCTATGTATAATATACTTGAATAAAAATTTAAGTTTTCAAAGCAGTCTCTTTTAATATTACCACTTATAGACTAATCCACACTGGATGCCAGTTGCCTTACTGCAGCAATACATCTAAATACAATTTGGATTTGTATCGTCTATAAGTCCTGTCAGGCAGATAAACTGAACTTGGGCAGAGTCAACAGCACGGATGTCTGGGAGAAGGGCATTCCAGACCCATGGTGGCAGCATAAGAGAGCCAGTGACTTCCCGCCGAGGCGAACATTGACCTGAGGGCTTTGACTGCAGTACAAGGCTGGGTCTCCCATTGCACGTGGTTCAAGATAAATGGCCCAGCTTTCCTACGGCAGGCAGCCTCAACTGGACCCACTGGGTTCTGCAGGCATCATTAAGGGATTTCTACAGAAGCACCACCTCCCACAGCTCCCCACTGCCTTGAATGAACCTGATATGTGCGTGGATGGGCGACCATGCATGATGGGTTGTTATAGGCTGCAGGGCTACGTTGTGGGGCAGCAGAGGTCAGTGCAGGACATCCTTATAAACTTACACTTCTAATTTCCCATGCTTATGCTCCCCCCACGCAACCCACAGACTAACATGGTGAAGTATGGTCAACTCACTCCCAAGACCCACATGGTATAGGGGAGCACTCATTCAGCAGTGGATTGACGGGCTTTACACATACACACATGTAAAATTTAAAAACCAAATGATAACATTTTCTGTAGGTCATTTGTGATTACCGGGAGACCTAATTCACCACATTTGAGAATCCAATTTTACTATGGGTGTTTTTTAATCCAGATTCGAATCCAGGTCTCAATGGTTCTGGATCAGTGCTCCGCCACGGAATTATGCCCCCAAACCACCCAGCCCACTCTGGGAAAACTTCCTTATAGAGCTCCGTTTTGGAGTGAGGCAAACCCGCCTGATTTGACATCGCCTGTTTTTTAAACTCTCCAGCCCATAATTGCATAAAAAACATTTCACAAATTCATAAATATGAGTGGCCTTAAAAAGGAAAAAATATGTGACGTTTTGGTCAATGGCCCTTCTATGAATAAATGTCAGGATATAGGAATTGGTTTTATGCTTTCTGGCAATAAAACAGGTGTTAAGATGTTAAAACAGAAAGGTTTCTATTTGGTGTTTTAACATCTGTTGTATTGCCATAAAGGGTAACATCGATTCTTATATTGATACTGCAAGAAAGGTCCCATGATGAAATGTGAAGAGATTGTTATTTGTGCTTCTCCACCACTGCCAACGCAGCAGCATCACAATATTTCATTTGAAAAGCGCATAATGAAGTAGACGCCAGTGCACGCTCCAATGCCTTCACCGATGTCTTCACCTTTTGCTTTTAATGACACATGTATAATTGTTATAAAACAAAAGGAGTCTTACAATTCACCGGGAGCCATACACAGCAGCCACTGCACGTGCCACTGCCTTCTCAAAAACCTCGTGGCATTCTTGTCTGTGCAACACAAAACAGGTTTCATTTCATTGGGGACTTCAGGATAGCTCATGCACGTATAAAAAAAACACGCGCCACTCAAATACCCCCATGAGAGTTATATTCTAAGCCTGTGCCCTAACAAATGTCATGCCGGCTTAAAACCCGTGAGACGGTTGCAGTGTCAACATGAGCTCAAATTTGTATTTTTATTTAATTTTTTCTAGCAAGTACAACCAGGGATTCATTTCAGATCAGTCTGTCCGGGTCGATGACCCTCAAAATATGTATGCATCCGGCACACCACATCCAGTGCACCTCCTGGTTATGGCCATGGCTACTAGTCACGTGCCTACTTGTGCAATTTAGCAACCGGGATAATATTCGGCGAGAAATTAACGCGTTTGTACAACAATAATTCTACGTTAATGAGTTGACAGATTCAGCTCTTATGCTTTGTATTCTAGCCTGGGCGAATATCACGCCAAGCAAAATGTTGAGTATGCATTGAATTCTGTCACTTTCCATACTCAAAAGAGACAGATTTGCATTAAAGTCACTCAGAAAGTCAGTGCAGCAGCATCAGAACCAAAAGAGCAGGCTTCCCGTATATTTTTTTCATTCAATTTTATGGACAGTTTTTGACGAGCATTATTTTCTTTCACAATTCAGCAGGAGCTTTATACAGCTTGTGAAACCATGGTTCAATCGGCTCATTTACAAGCATATTATCCAGATAAGTTTGTTGTAGGGCTACTTGTCTGTTACAGAGCTTTCCATGTATGCCACCGATGACGGCAAGACTTGGGGCACGACTTCACGCAAATTCTTCTCACGCAGGCGAAGTTGGCTTTAAAGTTGTTTTGAGTGTAAATCAAAAACATACTGCATCAAGTTGCACTATTCTCTCTACGTCAATGTCAAACCCTGTATTTCCCCCCCTCATGGTCCATATTCCCGCAGGAATCTATAATCACCATGCAAAATTAAAGTAATGTTAGTATTTGCCCAGGAAAGCCACGCCAAGCCTCAAGAGTCATCACAAGTAGGTGTGTGGGGATGAAACTCGAGTACCTGGAGAAAACCCGGCTACAAGGGGGAGAATGCTCAAATGCCTACTTGCTGTACTGCTCAATGCATACAATAGCTCAATTTCCACGTGACCCACCAAGTCCCATCTGTAAGTTGCTGCATTGCAATACAACTGGATTTTAATATCGTCTTCATATCAGATGTCCACACACAACCTCTGAAGATTCCATCGTGAAAACATATCACCACCGCCACACGCCAGGAAAATTACATAGAGGTGCATTGCTTATTTGGTTGATGGGCATTAGAGACGTGGAGTGCAATGAGCTGCCAGGGTTGTAAACCCCTGCTCTGGATGAATCGTGCAGTCCTTGTTAGGTGGGGTTGCGAGTGGTACATTGCTTCCCTGCGACTACTGTAATAAATAAAGGCAATACGTGTTCAGACCATCGACTTCATCGAATAAACCAGCCTTGTTAACAGAAAAGACCGCTCCGAATGCGTGGTTATGTTAAGCAGCTACGCACAAATGTATAATTTAATGGCAGTAGGTAAAAAAATAATTCAAGCATGCTCCCCCTCTTTACGCACAAATGGTGCAAATGTAACTTCCACGAATGCAAGCAGCAAGTATGTGTACTTACACTAGGGAGAGGTGGGGCCATGCCAACGTGGATGGGTTATTGTGTATGGATGAGGGCTCGACAGACAACAACGCGGCAATGGTTCACGTTGGAGAAAAGTGTTGCGCAAATCGTGAGCTAAAACTATGCGTTTATTGTGATGCTCGTGAGGTCGGTACGATACGACATTAATCATCATGAAAACGCTCTCCTTTTTTTACACACACCCAGTTCAAAATAAAATAAATTTTACCCCAGACGTCGCGCATTACTCAACGGCTGATTTATACTCCAAAAGGATTTTCTCGTGGTCCAGCACAGGTTTTATTTTACGGAGCCCACGCCCCAGCGCAGCCCTGCCTCACCGATTACTAAGTTTGCCTCGAGTTTTTTTTTCTCTCCGTGCCGTTTGGCGCACGCAGGGTGCACAGTTCGCTCACCAACGTGTGGACAGCCGCGCTCTGTTTCAAAAACCCGTGGTGAATGTTATTCAATCCTGAAGCCGTCGCGACTTGGCCTCCTTGGAGGAGCTGGGGTGGCTGATCCCTCCCGGTAAGCCGGTGGACTTGTGGTCTGGTGATTCGGTTAGACCAAGTCACTTCACCACAGGTGCGTTTCTCGGATCTCGGCAATGATCTGGCTGGCTCGCTGCAGTGCCTGTATGGAAAAGAAAAGCATTTTTACCAAGCAAAATCTCTTAATGAATCAATCATTTATTTTAACCACAAATAAATCTACAGTCTTGCACTCACAACAAGAAGAACCCAACTGCCTGTGCACTGCAAAGTGACACAACTGAGATTTCACATCGACGGATGTAACCACCGTGTAAAAATAAAATCTTCAGTGAGCGCTGTCAAGCTGTCATTTCACCTTTGTTATGAGATAGCGCATGCCAGGCGCTACTTTTTGGCCTCCAGCAAAGGGCAGCACGCGCCCACGTATGAGACGATGACAACTACTGACGCCTCCAATCCCCGCGGCCCAGCTCCGTCAAAACTGACAAACTAAAACGACTTGGCGCTCCACAAAGCTGTCGTTTGAAAGAGCTATGAAACGGAGCGGCGGTGCGGTGGTTAGTGCACTACACTTCCAACTGAATATACTTCCCGGCGATGGCAAACAGCGGCGAGTGGTAAATAAAAGAGTTCTGAGCACCCACCCCACCTTTACCAATATGCACCGATCAGTGTGATGAAGCATGGTCAAACATTTCCCATGACCGACATGGCATGGGGGAGGCTTCATCCAGCAGGACATTGACAAAGGGCTTTAGAATACCCTATAAGGGCACCACGAGAGACAAGCAGGACGAAAGTGAGGGATGTCTTAAGACTTGAACAACAGAAAACTTTCCCAATAACGCATCCCCATATAGATGTAACGACATCGCGGATACCACTATAGTGTGGGTGTAGTACCGGCCCCTAGAGGGGCTCGATGAGCGCTGATTGATAGCGCTGGGTGGCACCACACTTGGCGTGCAGTGCCAGCCCTACAGGATAGGGTGTGGGTGTGCACGACCGTAGGAATGAGGTTACTAAAGGCCGTGGCACTCTGGTTGACCCGAGAGGACACGTGACCAGTTAAGTCTACAAAGGTGGTCGTGGCCAAGGGCGGAGCCAGCCACGCCACAGAGAACAGAAGCCGGGTCCCCCAGAGGGACCGGCGTTGTTGTTCATCTTGAAGAAACCTTCGTCTACGTTCTACCGAGCCTCCAACACGTGGACCTGGACCCTAGCTGTGGTCCCCGGCAATAGTAGCTCGTTACGTTGTAATTAGTGTAGTTAGCCTGGTGGTCACCACCATAGGCTGTTATTCTGTTAGGGGGCAGTTACCCCGTGTATTGGTGTTAAATAAATGTGTTGCCTCCAAGTGTACGTCTGCGACTCAGTTGAACTCACTACATATACAATGGTATAACAAACCCTTTTAGCGCCTATTCAAATCACATTCATTTCTCCAGGAACACATCTTGATTATTAAGCAAGGTCTGCCTGTATAACTATATCAAATTACATTTGTACACCATTTAGCTTAATTCCAGCTCTGAGAATTCTAAACATTGGTTTGACTGTCAAGCTACGAACATTACTCTCTCGGGCAGAGCGGGTGGGGTACGTGCTAACCCCCACTTCTGTGCGGACCAGAGGTCACTTGGAGGGATCTCAGAGGTAGCTCTGTGAAACCCAATTCCGTGGGCCATTCTCTCACAAAGAGAACTGGACTGCTCTTCTGTTAGAGATCCAAACGGATTATTCGTCTCATGACGTAACGCCAATAGCATAATCGCGATATAAAGAAACAGATTAAACTATTCTTTAATATATTCTCTGCACACGTTGGAAGTAAAACAAGCTCCAAACTTTGGGGTTATTTAAAAAAAAGTATTTTATAGTGCCGGAAATATCGTAATCTGGAGAGTTGTCTTTCAGACGACGATTACAAATGATCCGATTTCAAATTAGCATGTATTGTGCAAGATAATTCTGAACGGCCAGTGGTATCGTCTGCCGTCCGAGTGGGAATGTATTGCTATGGAGGAAGATGATTCTGTACAACTAGATAGAGCACGTCATCCAGAAGACGACATTCTCCAGATTACAAGACTCATTCCATAACTTTTGCTGATAATAAGGAAACAAAGTGCATTAACAATCTGAAGAATATGGATTTGAATAATTGTATTTTTACCCTTCTATCTGGCAAGAAAACTGACACCTTTTTTACAAGGAGTCATGTTTGCATAGACCACAATACCTGCAGTCATAATGCAAACAAAAAACATAACTTTGATAATGTATGCACTGTCCTTGAAGTTGATTGGTCCACACCCGAGACAGCTTTCCTTACAACCTAGTCTCACATGGGTTGGACCAGATGACGCCAAAAGGCGCCTTTTGGCATCATCTGGCCCAACCCATGTGACACCAAAAGGCGCCTTTTTGCGTCATCTGGTCCAACCCATGTGAGACTAGGCTCTAAGGAAAGCTGTCTCGGGTGTGGACTAATCAACTTCAAGGACAGTGCATACATTATCAGAGTTATATTTTGTTTGCATTATGACTGCAGGTATTGTGGTCTATGCAAACATGCCTCCTTGTAAAAAGGTGTCAGTTTTGTTGCCAGATAAAAGGGTAAAAAAACAATTATATTTTCTACTGGCAAATGAGGTTCCAATGGTGGAATATGGAATTTAGTTTTTTTAATTGGCACCTTCAGCATGTCGGATGCCTCCTTGCGGCGCTGGGCCATGTCCTCCGACTCCGTGAGGAGCTCGTCCAGCAGCTGCTGCTTGTAGAGCTGCCCCACCAGCTCACTCTGCAGGTTGTCCTTCACGTGGTTCACCAGGAAGTGCATCACCGCCTTTGGCACGCTGGCGCGGGCGAGACAGGTTGATACACGCGGAGCGGAGAGATTGGGTGAGCCACGCGGATATTAAAATGTCAAGAAGGGACGGAAAACTTTTTGCTAATTTAGTGAACAGGAAAGTGCAGAGAAGACATATGCTTGAAGCGAGCGTCTCACCTGTCCTGTATGTTTTTCCGGACAATGAGGAAGTAAGATTTGATGAGCTTCTCAATCACCTCACAGTCCCTCTGCTCCCTTGCCGACAGCTTCCGTGAAACTGGCACAGGCTGTAGACGACAGATAAAGCAGAGATTCCTGTTAAGCCTTGTAGACTCTTGAGATAAGTGCTGTTAGCGAGTCAAAAGCCAGCACACAGCACATGAGGGGGGCAGTGTCGCCAGCACTGTGCCAGGCCACCGTTGCGCCTCCCCAATGCCGATGTTTACGCACCGCAGCAGGTGGTCACTCAAGGCCTGGTCAAACCAGGGGAACCCTAGGAGAGGTCTAAATTTTACTCTCCACTATAGTGCACCTCACACTCACCACATCCAGGAGGTTGATGGAGGGTGGGCCCTTCATGGGGCTGTTGAAAGACGCCGGAGTGTGGTGGTTCCCGGCGGCGCGAGCTTTGTCGTCTCCATCCTCCGCCCTGATCCCGCGACGCCAGGCCTGGGGCCCCGGCGCCCCCTCCTGAGCCTCCTGCCCCGCCTGATAATATACAAATGCTATTTTTAGGCTAACGAGCAGCCAGTAGAAAAAAACAAGATATTACAAACACTGCAATTGAATCGTGACCCTGAATCGTCAAAATCTATTGAATCGCACGCAGGGTCAACCATTAATCGTCCCCACTCCTAACTAACATCACCCTTTTTAATTTTCGGGATTTTTCTCTTGGGAGGCGAAGCCTGCGACCGTACCTTGGGTCCTTTGCCATCCACAACTGCTGCGGAGTCACCCTGCATCCCTGGGAAGGTGCGGTTGCGCCGCCTCTGGTCCTGCAAGGCCAAGCACCTCTGATTAATGCGATAGCGTGATAATAGTGCCGATGGTCAAACCTACAGGAATGCGCCTGATCCCGTCAGACTTCAGACGCTAAGCAAAAGTTGAGCCTCGATAGTGCTTGGAATGGATGACCACCATGCATAACAGCTGTGCGGCTGCATGGTGGGCAGCTGAACCAGTGCAGAAAAATCACATTGTACTCTACCCCTATGATCCCACATCCAAACTTTCCCCATTCACTAACTCGAATGAACCAGCACGATGAAGGACAGTAAAATAACCCACATGACCAGCAAGAGGCACATTCAGCAGTGGATGACAAAAGGCTGTACTTGAGAACATCGTGCGTTTAGTGGTGTGTTAGGCAACTAAACTTCTTAAAAATAAAAGTCAGTGTCTCCCTGTTCAAACTCTGGTGGGTCCTGACCCAGTTGTGGAATTTTCACATTCCTGTAACGTGGACGATGATGACTTTTCACAAGTTGGTACTTACTTTATCCACCCATCCAAACACTATCCAGGCTCAACCTTGCTTATCTTTCGAAATCTGATGAGATTGGGCTGCATTCCAAGTGTGATTTGGTCATAGGCCAACTCATCATACCTGGAAACTTATTTTTAACCAGCAGTGGCAACCCAGCGCTTAGGATGACCAACTCAGGCGTTCAAATATCAAGTTTATTTTGTTGAACCAGGTGAAAACTCAAAGAAACCAGGATGAGTCTCATTTGCAAGAGGGACCTGGGGGCATTAGTCTGCCAGTAGGGGGTGATAATTACACTGTCACCATGTGGAATCTCACCCATATCTCGAAGAATGCTGGCGAACAGAGGACAATAACGTGGCCATCCAGAATAAACACCTAATTTGATACCAAAACATCACACAATCTGGCTTTGACGTTTCTCAAAAACACTGGTGTACCATGAACCGCATTAGAACATTAACAGGCCGACGTGCACATCTCTGTCATAAATGGAAAATTAAAGACACAAGCCACCGTGCGATTGTGGCCGTGCAACCAAACTGTCCATACAGTAAACCAGTGTAGTCTGCGCTTCCTCAATGGAGGAATATAAAAAAAAATAAACACAAAAAATCTCCTGTCCCGCACCTCCGATGAGAATGGTTGGCTACGCACGGTGCTAAAGAAATTCAACATACATACATACAAGCCCTATTGTGGCTAGTAGACCTCGACATTGTCATTTAGCTCCTGAACACATTTCCATACACAATAGAATAGAATTGCTTTCTACACTTGTGTTTTATATTTTCAAATGTGGCAAATTTGCACCACGAACATAATGACTCAATGTGTTCATGAGATTCAGCATCTCTTAGCAGCCCGGAAGCGTCACGAAAAACCATCAGCAGTCAAGTCAGTGGGAGTCTGGGGTCACCGACCTCCAGGCTGTTGTTGATCTGCGTGGACACCATGGAAGCGTCGGCGAAGTCCGGATGCTTGGTGTTGATGTACGCCAGCTCGATAGCAACCAGGTTGTGGACCTGATGCGATTCACAGCGACAAGAAGTGACATTTCGATTTAAAGCTTTCGTGACTGCAGGGATTCATTAAGTGGTACTGGTCGCATACCTGCATTTCCCATGGGTATGCTAGATTCCTCTTGATATGCGAATTCCTTTGTCGGGGCGCTCTTCCCCTTCCAACCCAGCTTAAATATACGCTGCCAAGCCTGGTGGTGTTCATGCAGACGCTGTCTTTCTGACAGACCTGTTCTTTACCTGAGGATGGCTGCTTGCGTTGTGGCCGAAACGTCGTGAGAATTATTTTATTATGTTTTATTTTTATTATTTTATTACTTCCCTTCTACGTGACTTTACCGAAAGAACCAAGAAGATGAAGAAGTGACATGAATAAATAATAATGATATTTACGATAAATCGCATGGACGCCTTGCCTCCCATGGGGAAAACCCAATCCTCGACGTTGCGAACCACAACAATGGAAGAGCAAACTGAAAGTGAAAAGGGGACCTTGCCAAAACAGTGGACTGATTTCAGTGAGAGGGTTATTAATTTTCGATTTAAAGCTTTCGTGACTGCAGGGATTCATCTTCTTGGTTCTTTCGGTAAAGTCACGTAGAAGGGAAGTAATAAAATAATAAAAATAAAACATAATAAAACAATTCTCACGACGTTTCGGCCACAACGCAAGCAGCCGTCCTCAGGTGAAAACCAGGTCCGTCGAGGCGACAGAGTCTGAATGAAACAGCACACGAGCTTGGAGCATATATATAAGCTGGGCGCATTGACAAAGGAATTTGCATATCAAAAGAAATTTAGCATATTTATGGGAAATGCAGGAATGTGATTAGTACTGCATATGCATGTGCATTATGCAGGATTAACAGCATCAAAGGGAGCTGCAGTTACTGCTGCTGCTGCAATTGCTGCTGCTGCAGTTGCTGCTGCTGCAGTTGCTGCTGCTGCAGTTTCTGCTGCTGCTGCAGTTGCTGCTGCTGCTGCAGTTGCTGCTGCTGCTGCAGTTGCTGCTGCTGCTGCAGTTGCTGCTGCTGCTGCACTTGCTGCTGCTGCTGCACTTGCTGCTGCTGCTGCAGTTGCTGCCTTATCCATTTTAATATAACACTATGTATTATTCTACCCACCCTAATGTGTATCACACTGCTATATGTTTACTATACAATTACGACACCATACATTACTCTGCACACTGCTCCATGCCAGTGAGTGGAACGCGGTCTGAAAGTCACCGTAAACGTGAACACAATCAGTTAAGATCCGAAATGGTTTATTACGTCCTTCCAATGATTGCTAAGCCAGAATCCATCTTCTCGGTTGAAATTGTCTCTGTGTTTGTATATGTGGATCGCCTCATGAACGAATCTCTCATGATAGCCAGATGGCTTGCAGAGAACCTCTGTCTTGGAGAAGTCAATGTCATGTGAGCCCACTGAATTGTAACAGTGATCTGCCACGGCTGAGGTGTAGGACAAACACCTCAGCCGTGGCAGATCACTGTTACAATTCAGTGCGCTCACATGACATTGACTTCTCCAAGACAGAGGTTCTCTGCAAGCCATCTGGCTATCATGAGAGATTCGTTCATGAGGCGATCCACATATACAAACACAGAGACAATTTCAACCGAGAAGATGGATTCTGGCTTAGCAATCATTGGAAGGACGTAATAAACCATTTCGGATCTTAACTGATTGTGTTCACGTTTACGGTGACTTTCAGACCGCGTTCCACTCACTGGCATGGTGCAGTGTGCAGAGTAATGTATGGTGTCGTAATTGTATAGTAAACATATAGCAGTGTGATACACATTAGGGTGGGTAGAATAATACATAGTGTTATATTAAAATGGATAAGGCAGCAACTGCAGCAGCAGCAGCAAGTGCAGTAGCAGCAGCAACTGCAGCAGCAGCAGCAACTGCAGCAGCAGCAACTGCAGCAGCAGCAGCAACTGCAGCAGCAGCAGAAACTGCAGCAGCAGCAACTGCAGCAGCAGCAACTGCAGCAGCAGCAATTGCAGCAGCAGCAGTAACTGCAGCTCCCTTTGATGCTGTTAATCCTGCATAATGCACATGCATATGCAGTACTAATCACATTCCTGCATTTCCCATAAATATGCTAAATTTATTTTGATATGCAAATTCATTTGTCAATGCGCCCAGCTTATATATATGCTCCAAGCTCGTGTGCTGTTTCATTCAGACTCTGTCGCCTCGACGGACCTGGTTTTCACCTGAGGACGGCTGCTTGCGTTGTGGCCGAAACGTCGTGAGAATTGTTTTATTATGTTTTATTTTTATTATTTTATTACTTCCCTTCTACGTGACTTTACCGAAAGAACCAAGAAGAGGGTTATTAATTGTTGCTGGTTGGCTTGTTGGTAAAGCTTAAGGTCAGTCAGAGGCTAAATGCTAGTGACTGGTAGAGTTGGTTATGGTTACAGGTAGAGCAAGCGTTTGGTTGACTCGTGTGGTTAGGGTTGAGAGCTAGTACTGGTGCTCAGGTGGCTATTTGGGGGAAAAATATATAAATTTGTTTATCGAAAACCAGACAAAGCGCACTGAGAAAAAGTTCCTCGTTAGTAATGGAGAGCTGAATGACTGCACAAGGTCACAACTGGCGCCGTCACCGCCTCGCACAGTTGAAGACAACCTGTCCCGCCCCTCACCATTTCGTTAGAGACGGGGAGTCGGCGGCGTAGCAGGCAGGTCACGACCTCCACGATGGCATCGTGCAACTTGGGGAATCGCAGCAGTTCCTGCAGCAGCAATAGACGCCAGGAGATGGAGAGACGGGAGAGAGATGCGTCACTTGAATTAGACGTGTGTGTGCGCACTCCATGTAGCTGAATTAAGTTACAGTACCGCATCCCACATCCCACACCACTCGTACCGAATCCTGCGTACAGTAAACTGGGTGCCCACGCACCTACGTGCCCACCCAACTTGCATGCCGCCCACTCTGCGTCCCCCCCCCCCCACCTGTGCGCTCATGTACCTGCGTGCCACCCTCCCCATGTGTCCACGCACCTGTGTGCTGTAGTTGCTGCAGTGCTGGATGATCCTCTGCATCTCCTCGTGAACCAGCTCCACGCAGCGCAGGCTCGGCTCCTCCAGCCGCTTGATCTGACGCTTCACGAGCAGCTCAAACGACACCTCCGGGACAAATAGCGCTGGTCGGGGGCCCTGCAGGTGCGGGAAACACAGCAACATAATCAGCAACAACAACAGCATCCGTGTTGAGAGGAACACAGAATATCAGCTGGATCACAAGAAGGACAAATGAGGTACAAGCAGTGGCAAATATTAATATTAGGCAGAAGTTAATAGATGATAAAATGCATTGGGCATATTTTACAACGCGATAATATATTGAGGGGTTAGGTATATTATCCAAGGTGAAGAGCTGAATTGGAATGATTAGCACACTGCGATATGAACGCAGAGACCTAAGCTTGGTTCCGAGGCGAACATCAGTGGCGAGTGATATCTGAACTGGTAGAATGCGTCCCCTTCACCAAACCGCACTGACCAGCGTGCTAAAGTATAGCCAAGCAATCCACCAGAGCGACATGGGAGGCCTTCATTCACAGTAGTTTGACAAAGGTCTGTAACTAAATAATTGTATCCATGGGAAACAGGGTTTGAACATAACTAGATATTTAATGGGGTTTAAGGCGACACCAGTTAAAATCCAAGATACATTTTTTTTTATGTTGTATTCAACGAGGCTCGGTAAAAATTCTCGTGGCTAGCTTATCGGGGCCAGCTTAGCATTGCAAGCCAACGTAGTGTGATATTGTATTGGGCTAGCGTATCTGACTAGCGTATCGGGCTGGTGTATCAGGCTATTATATTGGGTTAGGGTATTGGACAAGCATTACAGGCTGGCGTATCGGGCAAGTGCTGGCAGTGGTGGGTGAGTGGCGGGCACCGTGGCATTGCGGATGGCGGTGAGGACATCCAGTGTGGTGAGGCCGCCCAGGGGGTCCACCGACTCCAGGGTGCGGCCGAACGTCTCGTGGAAGATGTAGCAGATCCTCGCCCCCCCGCACCTGCGGTGTGGAGACACAAAAACAGACGATGAGCGGAAACGCCGGACTTCACAGGCAGTGAGCGTGAGCATGAGGTCCACGTGAAAATGATGCCGAGGAGCGAATATAGCTCTGGTGTGAACGAGACTCAAGTTTGAAGGAAGCTCAATTACAAACAACAGTGACCAAAACTCATGTCTAAATGATGGTCAGGTCAGCAAGATGCTCATGTGGGGTTCAAATGCAAATGAGTATGCATGTAATGACTCATCCACTTTACCATATTTTATCCGGTCACAATAGGTGCACTGAATCGTGAGAACAAGACTCAACAATCCATGATTCATACAAATAATATGCTAATGAATGAGCCAAAGGAGACATCGAGCCAAAAGTTCAAATGACTCTTCGGTACAAATGAAGAATAGCTGTTAATCCAGATAATGTAATAATGGAGTACAGATGTTTATTAAGCAGAGGTATGAATAATAGCTAGTCAGGTGGAAACAATGCTCAGGCTTGAAGGGAGCTCAAATACAAAGGAGACTCAATTAAGAACAATGCTCAGTTGTGGTGCCACAATTTTATAAATGCTCAAGTGTCCACGAGGCTCTGTGGCCACTTGCATGAGGACACCTTCATGGACAATTTCCCCTTCATTTGTCATTTCACGCAAAACGACTTTAACAGAAAATAAATAAATCACTTGGAAGGTGTTAAACGCTACTGAACACTGGTGTAAACAAAAGCACGAGTCGGGAGCAAATTAAGTATCGGGCCAAAACAACGCGGTGCGCTTGTGGCGCGACGGAGGCCGCTCTTGCATTTAGTGCGTGCGTGGGGCGTACAGCTCGGAGGTCTCGATGTGCTTGGCCGTGCCCTCGATGGTGTTGCAGTACTCGGCGGCGAACTTGGTGACGAGCTGAAGCAGCGTGGCGTTCTTGTCGTCCACGGGGTTCCCGTAGCCGCCCAGCAGCGACTGGTACTGCGCCGCCATCACGTTCACGCGCGTCTTCAGCTCGGGAAGGCAGTCGCGGATGTGGTGCATGAGCAGCCTGTGTGGCACGAGCGGGGCACGGGAAGGATTGCACAAGCGGACGCCACCGTCAGCAGGACAACACAGGCATTGGTGTGCAAATGAACGGTACATGGTATCCATTGGTTCTATTCAGTTGTGGCCGCACTAGCGAAAGTAAACCAAGCAAAGCATAGGGCACCCAAGTATACTAAGGAACCCCAGATTAATGAAACATAGGGGTGCATTAAATATCTAAAATTCAAACACTAATAAACATCACAAGATGTCATCTCTCATCTCTCGCCTAACGATATCGTTATTTTTGTGTACATTTAATTAATCTAACTGCATCTATATATCTTGTCTTATCTCTCCCGTCACCCTTCGCTAGATTGTGACACTTGAATTGTGCAAGTGATGGTGAATCGTGACATGTTTAATGCCTATAAAGAGGGGGGGGGCCTTTCCCACCCCACCCGTGTGTTTTGGCACACGTCAAAATTAATTAGCAGTGTCTACAGGTGTTACAAAAACCATGAAGAGAGCAATATTTATCACCTTTAACAACTACGGAGGTTGCAGGCCACTCGCATTCAAGCCCACAAATTCATGATACCCATCCCCCTTTGCAAAAGCCATGGCACAATGACAGTCAGCTAGCGCCACCTAGATACAATTCCTGCCTACACCGCTAACAAACAATGAACGGGCTCCCTCTTGCTTGAACTGACAGTATTCTCCAGATGATAAGACGCTCTGGAATATAACCACAATAAACTAAAACAAATCTTTTCACACGAACACACACCTACCAAATTACAAGATGCACCTTCTACATTTGCATTCATATACAGGAGGAAATGGAGTGTATTACAATCCAAAGAATACAGTCTTGTATTGGTTTCCAAAAATTTGAATCAAAAGTGATCCGGATTTACATATGACGTTTCGAACTTGTTGTACGAGGTGACTGTAAATAAATTGGGTTTGAAGTTGCAATGACAAGTTATCAATATACGAGTTTTGTTGGCCACAAAAAGCACATTCCAAGGTGGATGATGTGCAATTGAAAAAGGCGCTTGAACCTGTTGAGGGTCTTGCCAAGGAACTTGGTTCCGTTGCGGTTGGCGAGCGACGGGTACTTCTTCTGCATGAAGGTCTGCTCGTCCTGCATCGCGTCTAAGATGATCTTCTTCGTGTTGATGTCCAGCTGACTCCTGCGTACACACATGACGTCGGGGTAAGGAGGTAAAAGCAGCGAGGGTTAGGCTATACCTCAGTGCTATCCGGGCAAGAATGGGAGTTCGTCTGCGAGTCGACTGCTCCGACCACAGAGCCACCTGGGCAGATTTTAAACGATTTAAAAATTATTTCGGGGGGGAAGTTAAACGAAGCCCTCGCCTGTTGACGACGCCGATGATGCCGAGCTTGACGGGGATGACACGACCCGTCAGGATGTCCATCGCGTCCGTGCCGGCGTCCATGAGGTCGAGCTTTGTGATGACGGCGAGGGTGCGTCGCCCTGTCGCGTGGACGCACACACATGCACTTACGGTCACCCAGGATTATAATTAACACGCACGCGACGCACAATCGACGATGACGATATACCTGAAAAGGTTGCATCATATTTACAATATACAATGCGGAGTTGCCACGAGATGGAAGTACTACAAGCGCGTTTGTGACCCATCTGTGTGGAATGATGCGTTTTCTCCTGACTAGTTTCTTGCGACATACGATACACTCCATGAACTGGCCAAACGTCAAAATGGATGAGTAAATAATAGGCATCAACATTGTTACTTTAATCTCACATCTAAAAAATCACATCTTTAAAAAAATGCTCCACCATTTATCCAAGAAGACAAATTACGTGGCGAAGCTTCTCATACCCCATCCCTATTCACCATATAACTTTTAGCTACCCTAATTGTACCACTCATAACCCCTGTAAAGCACCTTGAATAAAAGCACTATATAAATATAAGATAATTATAATAAAACGAATTCATCAGTAACTACTTTAAAAGAAAAAATATATATATATAAAATCGGCGACATTTCTTATGAGAGACTTTGTTTAGACAGAGCTGTTAACAAAAATAAATATTTTTTTCGTAACAAAGACGCAATACTGACTAAATTGCCTCAGGGAGGGACTAAATCATGGGACTTCGTGGCTGACGTCACAGTTTAATCAATGCATTACAGCTACAAATACAAGGCGCAATTGACGACTCAAACTGGGTCATTTTCATCATCATCAACACTAGATGTACATATAATACGTGGGTATGTGTAGAGTCCATTGTGCATACACTGCTGGGCCTACCCCATGCCGTGCGGGCCATGGGAGATTATTTGACCGTACTTTACCACGCTGGTCAGTGTTAGTTAGGGCATCATATAGTACAACAATGAATTTTGTCACACAGGTCATTGTTGTGCACAATGTAGCGTCTGTAGTGGCCTCCCAAAACCTGTTTAATGCACGGCGGTTGCCCACACAAACACCAGTCAGGCTCAACCCCGCTTAGTTTCTGAGATATGATGAAATTCAGGAGCATTTTGGATGAGTTGGTCCACGGCAATAATACCACTTACATAGACTATACGTGCATAGGACTAAATATGAATCTGTCTCAAACTTCCTACCATCGGTATCCACTTCACGTGCGATTTTCAGGGCCTCGGAGGTGGCCAGGTCTGTGTTGGCAGCTGTGACGGCGAGGATGATGGAGTTGGGGTTTCCAATAAACTTGATGATAAGTTCTCGGATCTGTTGCTCGATATCCACAGGCTGATCGCCGACCGGAACCTGCCAACGACGTCGCATAGTGTGAGCTGCGATGTTTGAGTTACGGAGGAGAGCGGTATCGGCATCATGTCAAGAGACAAAGTATCCATTCAAACCACTCACAACATCAGTGCAACCCTTTGTCTTAAAGAACAATCCCTATGAAGAAGATATCACGTAACTACTCAAACCCAGTATCTCAGGGATGATGGATCGAGTTGACCACAGCTACGATTTGAAGTCACAGCATTTTGTAAGTTGAGTATACTAAGCACAGCACCACCCACCCATCTGCATACCTGTCAACCCCTTATCAGTGTCCACCTTATTATAGATCGCAATGTTTATCCTACAAAGTCCCATCACAAGGCAGAAACACAAAAATACACTTTTTTTGCCCGTATTGGAACGGCTGTAGGCCGTATGGACCTGAAAACCCAATTTCCCTGTAAACCGTATGGGTTGACAGGTATGCATCTGGCTTCACATTTGTACAATAAACCAATCTCGAAGTTGGTGCCATGGTTTTGCTGCAATCCGTACCTTTGTGATGCCCGGCAGGTCGACTAACGTCAGGTTGAGCACATGTGGAGAGAAAATCTTGAGGTGGATGGCCTCGGAACTGATTCCCTGAAAATGGAACGATTATCGAAATACATTTAACCATTTAAGCACTGTGATATTTACTATTTAATTTAAGCAATGTGATATTTGGTGGTCGTTTATTCCAACAGGTTTCGGCATATTGCTGAATCACGTATTTTACACCAGAAGCCTGTGTAACGATAACGTAATCAAACATTATCGGAGGCAGCGGCGGCGTAGTAGTCAATGCAGTGTGCTTTGAAACTGGAAACAAGCTTTTTATTGTCCATCACGACGAACATCGCGGATAGTATCTGACCTAGTCCTAGGCCCGCCTCTGCAGCAACCTGCGCAGACCAGCGTGGCAAAGTATGCTCAAACATTACGAATAGCCGATACTGTGGGGAGGCCTTCATCCAGCAGTGGATTGACAAAGGCTGAATATTACACTTTAATTTGTAATTATGGGAATCACAAAATAATTAAGATTGTTTTTTTTTACAAATGTCATGAGTCGAGGTGCATGTCTTACCTTGTTGGTGCCCGTGATCCGTTCGGTCTCATTTTCAATCTCCTGGCGAATTTCACTAAAATCTGAGTAGATCTAAGATAACAACAACAAACCAATGTATAAGGGTTATAATTTGTTAACTGCAGCAGTAATACACAAGTTAATGTTCGTAATCCAGGCGTGGTCTTCCAGGTTAGGCCACGTGTTAAGCTTTTGTTCCTCTCAAGCTGTTGGCCACGCACTACTACAGGGCGCCGCTGTGGCAAGATGTTAACTACTTCGCCTGATATACAGGAGGTCGTGGGTTTCATCCTGACCCTGACGCCTGTATGTTTGGAGTTTGCGTGTTCTCCCCGTGGTCACGTGGCTTTTTCTCCGGGTCCTCCGGTTTTTCCCTCCACATTTACAAACATGCGTTTAAGAGTATGTTGCTGCTACAAATGACATGATATGCCACTTCAGCGGTTATAATTTGGGCCTTTCCTGGTATAATAAAAAAAGTAAAAAAATAACATCTTAAGGAGTTCAATGCATGGCAACAGCTACAAAACAACAATGCTCAACACACAGCCTAACCCGAAAGACCACACCTGGAGTAATAAATTTGACCTATGCGGGGGTCACACAGCAGACATTACCAATTGGCATTGAGTCCATGTGCAAGAACTGAAATTGGTACCACCTTAGGTAGTAAAAATGTAGTTGTACCCATTAATTAATAAAGATAATAAGAGTACATTTTTTCATAGCCCACTTATTTAAAATTATTATCACACGGTTCACTGTTATTAGCCACATCAATAAATTAGAAACGCTAAAGTGATGCTGCTTCAGGTGGTACCTACAAGTGAAATATACAATTTGAGTTCACGCACTAAATTATCAATGCAATGAGTAAAATACATTCTGATACTCACCAACACACGCAGATAATTGTAAATGTAAGAATGTATTATTTAAAATTGATGCATATCACATTCTAATTTGAACATTTAGGCTAATGCCTAAAATAACACCGCAAAAATGAAACAATTAATTTCATATTAAATCGAATCGAGATAATTCACGGAATCACCGGTGGCGGGGGGTGGGGGCAAATTCTACTGCAGGACATAGCAACAGAACAGAATTAACTAAACAATGCACAGTACTCGGCAGTAGCAATACATATCAGACAAAAATGTACATTGCTGGTCAATGGTGAAGCGTGGCTGGTATGGGCCCTGGTGCAAGGAGTGAAATGGGCCCTCCCCTGTCCAATACATTCCCCCCTCCTTTGCCGCCTGATCCCCCCCTCTAGCCCGTTGGGCCCTGATGGAGTTGCACCGCCTGCACACTCCATTATCTATCGCCCCTGGTTGCTGCTTCTGCCCACCTGAGCACAGCAGCAGCACACAGGCATCTCTGTAAGTCATTCATCACCATAACCGTGTCCTACAGCAACCCTCTACTAACAACAAACAGGACACGTAGCTGTAGAAATCTATTAGACTTGCCCTCTTGCTCTCAGCAGCCCCGGTCTCAAGAGAATGAAAGCTGCTTCGGAAATGTTTCCGTAACGTAAAGCAAAGTTAAACTTTAAAAAACTCAAATTAGAAGAATGTACAGTGAACAGACTCGCCTTGTTCTTGGTGTGCAAAAACTTTCCCCATTCTTCAGCCTCGACTCCTGCGAACAAGAGAAGTCAAGTGTTGTTGGTTTAAATGAGCAGTTGCATTCCTTTCCATTAAGACTGGAGTTTGTACCCAGGTCACGATTGCAAATGAGATTTATCCTGGTAATCTTGAGTTCTCAGTGGGTTAAACATAATAACATTGACTTGTGCTTAGACTTGCAAGCATGTACACGTCAGCTCTCCACCATCCATGGTGATGGAGGTGAACGATAACCCAGATACAGCAAAAACACAAATAATGCAAAACATATTTAAAACAAGATATAAACAAATTATATATTGTTTACCTAAGTAGAATAGGAATGAAGATGTCGCATATGTTGCCTGTTTTTTTAAGTAGTCAGTTTCTAATATATGCAAATATTAGTTTCTAATATTTGCAGATATGGTTGCGGTCACATGGGCACTGAGTCACCGAGCCTTGATGAGTGGATAATCGTGCATTTGAGCAGCGTGTACATTAAATAGTCGTGCATTTGAGTCTCGATTGAGCATGTTACTCCTCAACCAGGATAATCCGTCTGCAAATAATCAACAGTTAACCATTCTGTAATACATCTGGATACCATCCCTGCTGTTATTTACACAACATCCAAAACTTATTTAAGTGTGTTGCTATAACACTGCAAAAACTGAACAAAGCTGAATTAACAAAACAACCCTGTGCCATCGTGTTCAAGAGTAAGCCACGATGTCCCAGTGTAAAGGGTCAAACTCTCTACATTTGAACATTATCATAGCAACTCAAATATGAAACTTAACCACGTGGTTTCTGGACACTCGTGTATAAATGTAATTTATATACCTGCGATTAGCACGGTTGGCTACGTATGGTGTGAAAGAATGTCAACATACAGTACAAACATATCTCAGAATCCCCACCGAGCCTTGAGGCTCTTTTTTGAAGAGGGCCGTGCGCATTGGGGTATTTGGCCAAATCTATTTTTACGAGTCTCTTGGTAAGTTGGAGAAACCTGGAGTACTCGAAAAAAACCCAGGCAAATGTGGTCTACACAGATGGGTAAAAACACCACAACCAACGCTGCCGATTCCGTAACACTTTACAGGCCAGTGTTTTCAGGAGTCTTAAAATGAAGTGGATCCAATAACCCTTGCCTGCAAAGCACTGGACTACACACGTGCGCCACACCCCTCCCTGGCAATGAAATTAAACAATCCAATAAAACTACAGAGCTGGTTGGGATTCGTGCTGTGGCTATTAGGTGGCTTTAATGTCTGCCAGGTTTGTGGTGGCACACTACATTCAGTACAGGACACCTCTCACTATGGCCTAGTTGCCAACAATATTGTGCTATTAAAGCAGTGAATCACTAATTTTTTTACCGATTCAGGTCTAGTCACTCGCACTCTACGGTTCTGTCTTGACCAACTGCAGCCTACCAGCAATGTGTAAAACACCAAGTGCCAAAGTAAGCCCCAACTATAAGCGAGCATCAGACCACCGTGTCTTCTTACGTCAAGGGCACAGCACAACATTGTGAGTCAACTTGAGTCAGCTAAGTCAGTGAGACCGACTTACTAGATTCACGTAAATCAGTAGCATCTCCCTTGTTCAAATGCAGCCAACCAGCAACAAGGGAATACTTCCAGTGAAGAAGCCTCAGCAATTAACGAGTATCAGAGTGCTGTGTCTGATGTCAAGGACGCAGTTAAACATTACGAGCTAAATTGAGTCAGCCGAGCCAGTGAGACCCGGCTTACTACATTCACGTAAGTCAGTATCAACACGTGACCGTCAGCAAAGCATCTCAAGCGCTTTGTGGATGTCAGTAGTTATACATAGCAGTTAGGGCTTTGGGATGGCTACAAATCTTTATTCAGATTTTTTTGGTGAAGCTGTCGTGGAAGTTTTTCTCTCTCATTACAATTCAGAAATATAGTAGAATAACAGGCGTGTGCATTGATGAAATGTACACAAATGTTAAGGGAGTGCATTAGCGGTGGTGCAAATATCAAAACAAATCACCACCTGCATCACTCACACGGTCTTCTAACAGAAAACCAAACACAAAGTAGGCGATTTTCATTTCGGTAAGGGAGCAGTGGCGCAGTAGTTAGTGCACTGTACTACCTGAGGTTGATAGCCAGCCGCGGCCAAAATCAGTGGTGAGTGACATCTGAATCGGTTTGGGGCTTCCCCCTTCATCAATTCACAATGACCAGTCAGCATGGTGAAGTATGGTCGAACAACCCCCATGACTGACAATTTAGAAATGGACTGAAAAAGGGCTGATTTTAAAATATATAAAAAAATAAAAATATATATTGTTTAAAACAACGGCCCTCAATCAAAGAACTGTATAAGATAAATAACCAGTAATGTCCCTGCACTAAATAAGGGTCATTGCCCAAACCCTTAACCCACTAATGTGTCCATAATTCTGTTGTAGGACAGTGTCAATGGCAAAAAGGTGTGGAGATGTTTTACGTCTGTTTCTACGTGTATATAAATGTGCATGCAATGACAAAAAAAATTATAAAAGTAAAAATTACAGTTCACTCAAATAAAAAATTACATCGCAAACATTTCAGTACATTATCCACTTTGTAACACGGAAAACACATTGGCAACAAAAAGTAAAATAACCAAGCCTCGTGTGAACAAGGGTGGGAGTTGCGCAAAGCGACGTGCATGCAGCGTCAAGAAACGACAGTAAAACCTGCGCGTGTTTCTCCTCTCTGACTCCGGTCGGCTTTGAGCAAATTGCACCAGACAGACGCACACAACACACGGTGAACATTAGTGCACACGAAGTGGGCGTCATTGAATAATTACACTCACACCAATGGACAAGGCCAACAACTTTTTTAAGCCTCAAGTCCCATTCGTGTATGCGAGTCGAATGCTTGAGTTTCCTTTCTCCAAGCGCTTCTAGTCTGCGCCTCATCTCTAATTCACGTTCACCGTCCACGTATCTCGCTCCGCTGCATCCTCCCATCTCGTCGTTCATCTCCCCTGACTGCTTTTGCCCTGCACCGGTGGCATCTCCGAAGCCCTTCGAACTGCACCTTCTCTAGGCCACACACAAATGGGAAACTACCCGTCGGATGACCCAATCCCTCTCCATGAAACGCACGCTGTGGCCGGGACACAAAATACAGAGAGTTGAGAACTCGAACGACGCAAAACCGTGACTCATTAACAACAAGCCCAAACCCTTGCTTGGAGGCAATCCAATTTCCCAGTGTGTAACAGCTGACAGTGTGATGCTTATTTTTATTTTACTTGTCAACCGTGAACGTCCGCAGACAGGAATGTTTTGTTATGACACACACATACACACGTGTGCAGCACTGTACTCACAGAGCACAATTGGTTGGATTTCACATGAGGAATAGAAACTTCGTTTGAATTAAATTCAGGTCAGTATATGCTGTCTGTAATAGAGCATGTTAAGCTAATGTTAAAAAAATAACTACATGGTATCTATGTGAAGGAAAACAGGTTGTTTAAAAAGTAAACCGGGATTTTCTTACTGATACTGATATAAGCAAATGGTCTTGACGTTTTGTTATTCATTGCATAGGTTCAATTAAGCTTCAACATTATACCACTTACATAACTGCGCTTTCTGAATGTGTTGAACACTGTTTCCCTTGCACGACCAACCTTAAGGGGGTACATATTCATTCATGTTTAACTTGACTGCATAAGGTCTAAGGATTACTCCAACTATAAACAAGCAAATAACACTGCTCTCGTGGCAATCTTTAAACACAACAAACACAAGCCACGGCCTCATTGTGGCCAAGGCAGGCAGGTGAGGCCAAGCGTCTGGAGCGGTGTTTCGCTCTGCAACGGCTCATTGCAAAAGTACCAACCCACAAGCACGCTGCTGCCATGACGAACGCCTGCATCGGGGCTAATTTCCGTACAACACAAGATGGTGCCTGTATTTTCCAGTGAGGCGATTTTTAGGTCACCGAGTGTATCATCAAGATAGCACAAAAGAGTGTTGAACACTGTTTCCCTTGCACGACCAACCTTAAGGGGGTACATGAACACATTTTTGTCGCCGTTGGATTTTTCAGTCAAATTTTTTTGCCGAGATAAGGTTCTTCAGAAGTCGCGCGTTGACAAGAGTGTTCCGGTGCTTCAAGCCGGTTTGTCAGTTTGTTGTTACGATGACTGTTCATGTCTTTATTTGTTTCACCGAGGCCGAGTGGGGAAACGATTTACCATTATGAGCTGCCCGTATGCCCATCTGGATCCGACATTATTGTTAAACGTGCGGCACCTTTCTGTTAAGGTAGTACTCATTTGATCAAAACTTGCTCACTCGTGAAAACATGCCGGTGCATTTCACCCATGCAGAGCAAGTGCATTTTGAAATTATTTGCGTAATGTATTATGGTCTCGCTGACCAAAGTGACATCCGTGTTTTGAGTGTGTTTGTGCGTGTATGTGTGCCGCAGAAGTTAACACGAAAACATCTTGCGACATTTTAAATTAAATCACACAAAACTTGCTCCGGCACTAATCAGTATCTCAAAGACTGCAATGTTTTTCATGGAACAGTAAAAATAAATAACACCCTACAATGAGTTTCCCGTGACTGTAATGCTGCGTGAAGAACATTTGTTAGTGTGCACAGCAGGCATGTTTGTATCGACACATCATAGTTATGCAGAAGCTGGATATAGGCACATCTCTTGGGAGCAAGGGCATGTGTGTTTCTATCAGAAGTGTGATAATATCACAAACTGCCCTTGACCTGCCCCTTACCAGTGTAATGCAAGGATGTGTTTCTTATATCAGAACTGTGCCTATATTAAGTGTGCATATATCCAGCTTTTACTGTAGATGCGGCACTGAGTTACGTGGCAGTGCAGAAACATCCGTTTTATTGTACTTCCATGCACTTGTGTCTATGGATAACTTCATTGCTGTAGTTTGTTTTGTTTTTAACTTGTAATTTTGGGGACCCAGGTCTGTCTTCAAAATGAGACTCAGCCTGGTCTCTTGAGTTCTCACCTGGTTAAACAAGACACACTATAAACATTTATATGCCCACACCGACCATCGTGGTCAAGTGTAGTCAAATAACTCTCAAGGACCAAAACTGTGTGTGGAGGCCCTCATCCAGCAGTGGGATTGTCACAAGGGCTGTGCATGTACATCAGTTGCTTGTGCATCAATCAGGCTTCGTCGATATACTGTATACACATGTACACACATGGCTGTCACTGGTGTCTCAGAACACAAGCATCTGCCTCCCCGCCCCTCTCCTTATGAAGTATGAACCTGGAGCACAGTCACATTTAATCTGCATGAATCCATCCTAAGCGCTAACAGCTGACGCTGCGTAGACCAATATGGGGCACAGGGGAACTGAAACCGACTGCTGGCCTGGGCCAACGTTTGCTCCTATCAGAGCTGCATGCTGGCTTGGCAATCAGAGAAAAAGGAAAACAAACTGGCTGGCTTGGCAGTGGTGTACAATGAAAGACAAAAATGAAAAACTTCACAAAGTTAGTCATTAATATTCCTTAAAAATGAAAAATATGCAGTTGGCTTTCATGACTACTTTTCAATGCACCCTAAAACTCCTGATTCACAGGATATGCTTCTTCTGCTCTGAAGATGGGCCACTGCCCAAAAGTCAGCTGATTATATCCATATATTTACAAGGCAGGTTAATAACAAGGGTGCCGAGTTTTACACAAGAACACCTGCTAAGCCAGCGGTCGGGAACCTATGGCTCGCGAGCCATATATGGCTCTTCCAGTGACGGCATATGGCTCCCAGACAATTTTGAGTTGAAAAAAATAATAATAATGAAAAAACAAAAAATCAGTTTGGAACTGATTTTAAAATACTTGTGATATTGTTTAATAATACTGTGTCATTTTAAAGTAAACAGAAATTAGTTTTGAAGATAAATTTCACGGGTCACGCCTGCATGAAGCTCAACCTCACCACGTATGAACCAGACTACAAGGCCATCAGCAAAACCATGCAGCACCAGAAGTCGCATTAAAAGTAAGACATATTTAATTTATTAAACGTTAAAAATACTATATGGCTCTCAATGAAATATATTTAGAAATATTTGGCTTTTATGGCTCTCCCAGTCAAAAAGGTTCCCGACCCCTGTGCTAAGCATTCCCCCTAATTCCGTATGAACAAGGAGCATAGTCACATTATTATGATCCTGAGGTTCATGTTGTAAAATAATTATTGCTGCATTACCAGCATAGTTGGGGCATGTTCAATCAGAATCATAAATTACTTAATGGCAAGTTCACAAGTTTCCACATGTGCACTATTGAGGGGTTAATTCATCCGTCACTGCAAAGCCACCCCGTACGTACTCTGGCATCAACTGAGCTGCTAAGAGCAGCTTTATGGCGCAGCAGTGCAAAATGTTATTCTATAAAACCGTGCCATGGCCAATCAATAGCCATAACCCTATCCCTAACTCAACGCTACTTGTTCGCTTTCCCCCATTCGTGGTTATTTTGCACCCATTCTTCTTCGTATAGCATACGCTTATTAAACAAAGCCAGGCCAGTGCCATCGTCTGCAGAGTTCAGTACTGTCTTCCATCTATCCTGGTCAGTGGGAAATTGTCCACAATACACACCACAGTGTACACCTGTAACACTCCACAGATTGGGCTGCCTCAGATGCCCCATTTGGCCGAGTTGGCCACACGAGTTCTTTATCCGGTCGCACCCATTAACATGCACACATCCTGGGTCCCAAAATCACTACCGATTGGCAGTATAAGTGTTTTAAAGAGAAGCAGTGTCTAGCAATTCGGTAATCGCAGCCATTCATAATCCAAGTGTGGCCATCCGTAACTGGCTGTGTGTTGAGAATTTTCTCTCCCAAGCTTTTGCAACAAATTATTGCCGGCATCTTGACGAGTTCAAGATGCCTGTAATAGCGTGTGCTCTGACCAATGAGTGCTCTGACCCATGAGCCAGGCGGCCACAAAGCCACGGCAATTAATGGATAATACACTCCTGCGGGCATCTTCAGGCATTGAAGATGCCCGCAGTAGTTTGGCAAAATCTTTAGAGAATAAATTCTCAACATGCGGCATATCCCGGAAGACCACACTTGAAGCAGCAACGTCAGTCACTTGCAGCAGTGCTGGCAGTACCATTCTCTTCTCCTCCGGGCCTGATGCGTTCGTCAGGTACGACGTGGACGAGTTGTAGGACGAGCGGCCGACGCGTCACGATGCCCGTGCCACGGGGGAGGAAGTCTCGCCCCACCAGGCTCTCCAACACCGAGCTCTTTCCGCTGCTCTGTTCGCCAGGAGTCACGGTTTCACGGGTTAAAGGCACGCCACAATTCCAATGGCGCTGTTCTTATCATATCACGAGACAATGTGAATATTTATAACTGTCGCAGACCTTGTGTTCGAGCAGGGTTTCCAAAACTTCTCACTAGTGCACCATTATTTAAAACATATATATAACCTGATGCACCTTTAGCATATTTTCCATATAAATCAAACGGTTAGAATTGTATTGTAATATATGTAATTATAACATTGCACGATTTTTTTTATTATATATGTAATTTGTGCATATGCACATGCAGCTACACACAAGGGGATTGCACACATGGCAGTGACGCTGATATTGATACTGTAATTCTAAGAACGGGAATTAAGCCAAAGTGAAAAGCATATTTCATGTCTTTGTTTTTGTGCGGTTAATTGTGATCAGGCAATCTTCCAACTCTATATGCGTATGAATCCAGTTTCATCATGGGAAGGCTGAACCCCAGATTTGAACCCAGGATACAAATTGCCTCAGTGCTCTGACCCAATAGCCACCCGGCCACAAAGCCATACGAGTGAACTGACAGTAGAATAAATACTACGTCGAGTATTCAACACTCAAACCATTGACTTCATACACAGCAACACACCCACCCCTACCAATAACAAAAATAGATCAACCATGATCTCTTCCACTGCTGAAAGGAAGGGGTCACCAAGCAGTCGCTACCTCTCACGGCCTCGCAATTTATCAATCCACTTAGCACCCGGCGCACGAACTGCAGTCGTCGCTCCGTCTCTACGCCAGACGTCCCCCACGGACGCGATCCCGAGGCACGACATCATCTTGCCCAAGCCCACGTACAGTACTTTTCTTAAATCAATGCGCCGTCACGATCGTAGGCGTACGTTTTTTCAACATTTAAACGCCAACACGTAATGTAACCGCGAGTGAGATGCGTGGATACGAACGCCGGTAACGAATGCCCTTGAGCCATTAGCGTATTGCCTTTGCCAATAAAATAGCGGTGGTCAGCGTACGGCCAGACTCCGTGACCCAGCCGAAGGTGAAGGTCAATCGGTCATCATCGGCCAATGTCATCTCCACCGTGGCTTTGCTCCCTCCGGCGCGATGTCGCAGCTGCTGCACAACTTGGCAGGGCGACCTCAACGGCCCGTTAATACATCACCACCACCACCATCACCACCACCCGATCTCCACAACACGAGACGTCGTTCAAACAAAGACGTTTACAAATGGGAAAAAGAAGATTGATAAAAAAGAAGCGATTTCACCTGGGCCCCCACCACGACTATTTGAGGAAGCTGAATGGACTCCGATCCGACCGTGTTGAAGACGTCCTGCAGCTTGTTAATCACCGGGATTAGAGCCTCCATGTCGCTCGGCCTTTGGCGAACTGCGCTACCTTATAAGGGTGCGAGTTAACGACTTAAACGAAATGGACACAATTCGAATTAACTTTCAAGTTCGTAGGCTACCAGGCTCGGTTCGCCCCCGCGGTGCGGGAACGCGCTCGGCGAAAGCGGCGGTGGGAGTGGTGGTGTGGGGTAGGCCCGCTTGACCTCGCCGATAGATTTCCCAGCGCGTTTACGTGGTGAGAAATCCCCCCCCCCGCCCCCACCTCCGGTCCGCCGCACAGAGCGGTAGGCGGCATACAGCGGTGGGGGTGGGGGGGGGAGCGCTTATCCGCACTAGGAAGTTCAAACGCGGGGTCATGTACGTCACGCGAGGGGCGAGATATAGAAGACGGGGGGAGGTGACGTCACCGGCGGGGAGGGGCCGGGGGAAGGTGACGCCCACTTGAATGACGTCACAAAAAGAATCGGAAATATTTATTTATTTATTTGTTGGCGGAGGAATCCGATGAGCTGTAAAGCTCCTTTTTTCAACGATGATCAGTCGGGGCGGGGTAAGGACGTTACAACAACAAAAATGCAAAAAAACGACGGGGGTTGCAAAGTTCTGGAAAGGTAAACAAATGACACAAACAACCAAATACGACACTAAACCAACCCAATCCCACGAGACAAAGCCCACTGAGATATTAGCTTAGGGGCCGTCCATAAATGACGTCACGCGATGTTGGACGATTTTTGACTCCCCCCCCTCGTCACATGGCGTCACAAAAAGTCAGACCCCCCTCAAATATGACGTCACAAAGCTATGCCCCACCCCCCCCCAAAAAACATACTTCAAATCGCTTTAAACTATTGTCATTGTAGTGCGTATTTAATGTGGCGCTGCTGCACTCTGATGTTGTAGGAGAAAACATTTATTAAAAAGTCTATTTAATCAAGTTGAACGTGTTGTCTATATTGATTTAAAGTTGCGCATTTTGATGTGACGTCACATTTTTCACCCCCCCCCCCCCTCTCGTCACACATCGTCACAAATGACTGACCCCCCCCCTCCCCTAGGTGCGTGACGTCATTTATGGACGGCCCCTTATTTTTCATTAACACGACCTCGCCACAACCGCACAACAAAGTGGGCTTATAATTTGGACATTCATAGCAGCAAATTAATCTAAATAGTCTAAAGGCACGTTTCTAAGTGAGTGAGAGAAAAACCGGAGGACCCAGAGAGATACCGCAAACTCCAAATATACAGCAGCAGCAGGCGTCAGGGTCGGGATCGAACACCCGACCTCCTGCATACCAGGCGAGGAAGATAACATCACATCCATATACACTTCTGTACATTAAAAACGTCGCCCAATATATATTTTCCGTTTTAAAGCCTTTAGAGTTATTGACGCAATGTGTCGTTGTTTTTTTCGGTTTAATATAAGCGAGTGTGTCACGCTTTTTTGGTAGAAAAAATTTAACACATTTGTAAATTAAAGTGGCCCTACAGGCACACGTGTAAAGCGACGTTTCGGGCGATGGCTCTGATTTCATTACACGTCACAAAGGGCCATTTCCCGAAAAGTCGCCTATTTTATGTTTTCATTTACATATAACAGTGTTACATATAACAGTGTTATTGACAAATCTACTGTCAAGTTTCTAATGTTTGCTTGTGTACAACTTTATTTTGTAATTGTGCTATGATCAGTATAAAAACAAATTTGTCCAAGCCGACTTGAGCTGCAGGAAATTTAATATTTTACCCGAACATTTGACTTTAATACACACTGTGGGTTTGGATTGCATGGTCACAATTGCACAACTGTGGCTTGTCTTACGCAGGAGATGCGATGTGCATTGGCCCTGCTGTTTATGTTTTGTAACGCTCTGAACCTACTAGACATCTGTGAAAATATAGCTTCATATTCTTTGGGTCTTTCGGTAAAGCCACGGAGATTGATCAAATAATAAAAATAACAATATCACAACGTTTCCATCGCAACACAAGCAATCGTCATCAGGTGAGAAATATTGTAGGAGAGCAGCGATCGAAACATCGTGATATTGTTATTATTTATTATTATTTGTATTTCTCTAATTTTTTTATTATTTAACCTATCTACGTGGCTTTACCGAAAGACCCAAAGAATATGTATTCCTGCAGTCACGAAAGCTTTAAGTCAAGATTTATAGCTTCATAGCTCATCGGATTCCTCCAGTAACGTTGGACATGAGGCGGGGCCGAGGGAACGTGCCGAGGGGCACGTGGGAGGCGATCCCCGTGGATGGGTGGCACGCCTCTGGTGGGCGTGGGAACTCGCCACACCTCACCCCCCCCCCTCGCCAACCTCGACCCACGTGCGTTCAACCTTCTACCGTGTCAACAAGATAAGTCAAGATGACAAAGGTTGTCTTGTAACTTAAATCATTGGTTTTGGTAGCAAATACAAAGATCCGTATTTGTTTTTTGTTGGGTAAGGCCACGTATTTTTGTTTTATGCCAAAACTCAGTGTGAAAGTCCTCCTACCACCCGATAAGATTGTCACGTTTACGAACATTATTATTCATACGCGCTGCCAATGTATTGAATGTCACCGGCGAGGGAGGAGCTTTATCGGTCAGAATTTGATCAATACATTGGCACGTACAACTAATACGTTTGTAAACGTGACAATCTTGTCGGGTGGTGGAGGGGTTTACGACAAGAATTTTGGCATAAAATGACCACCACGTGGCCGATCCCATCAACAACTACGGTATGGGTAAATGTTCCCTTCTCTTATTACCATCGGCAGCAATGATGCTGGATAAAGGCCGCCTACCAAATGATGTAGATTTTTTTAAATAGCAAACCCCCATTAAATGCATAAGTCTGCCACATATCAATATGGATGTCATCGTCAGCCATGATCGATCCACTGCTGGATGACAAAGGTTCTCCCAAGCTATCGCCATCTCTTACTTGGAAGTTGTACAGTGTATATGTATCCATTTAATCGATGTGCACTTGTACCGTACGTTTGAATGGCTATAGCCTCTAAACAGGAATGCATATTCGAGGCGGCGTAAGTCAACATAAAAAAAACACTAAATACAACAAGCATTTAGGTCCATCAGCCTATGCGACTTCTGAATCAATGATTTCCAGTGGCAGCATTTATTTAAGCAGCAAAATCATTGACCCGTTTAAATTTCTCTCTCTGGTTACGATAAAAAAACATTTTTACGAACTTTTTTTACTTTATCAGGTTAGGCCCACCAATTTGGTGGGTTACCATTTTGTGGACAGTTAAATTCGTCTTTGAGCAGTTACTGCGTGGGTGGATTGCATCGCAAGTTTGGGAGAGGTGGAAACCTCTGGGAAAGAGAAGTCCTCCAATGATGATCATGATAAAACAACGGTCGTCCAAGTCAAGGTACTGGACCCCGCCATGAGAATGTGGAATGTCAAACAATGACCAAGGATTGCCAGTGGAGTTGGGAGACATAAAATTATGTTTTTTTTAATAACAGTAAATTCATATTCTTGGTTCTTTCGGTAAAGTCACGTAGAAGGGAAATAATAAAATAATAAAACAATACAATTCTCACGACGTTTCGATTGCAACAAAACCAAGAATATGAATCCCTGCAGTCACGAAAGCTTAAAATAAAAAAATAACAGTAATATTAAGATTAATACGGGCACGAGGCTTGGCAGTTTGCGGGGTACTATGGATATACAGTACTGTGCAGTACTTTATAACGATTCCATACATCCCACTTGATGAGAATTCGCGCGATGATCTCCATATTGTGGATCAAGTAGAATCTAGATTGATACGGATCGACCGTCTCAAGCTTTGTGCGTGTCATGGTATAAACTACAGTATGTATTTTAATTATTTTATATAAATTATATAAATTACTATGAGCCAATAATGTCTGTGTCCCGCGCGTGACGTCACTCCACGTCAACCAGCCCCCCTCATTAATAATCATGAACAGGTGACGTCCTCCAAATGGACAACCCCCACCATTAATATTAATTAGCGGATGACGTCACTCCACATGGGGGGGCGAGGCGCCTCCTCCCCCCTCCTCGGCGTCAACTCACAACCCTCACTACAAACTACAAAGGCAGAACCCTCACGTCACGTGATCTGTGCAACGCTGTTGAGACATCAAAGTAAAAAGGACGTCATGATGAACAAGGGATTATAACCTTAAAATGAAATAGGTCTGTGTCACCGCAGCCTTACAAATTGCACACGCATGGATGCAATGGATATCACGTCGCGGTCTGCTTTTCGCTTGCGAGTTTCAGATTTACCGCAATACACCCGTCCTTTGACGGGCAAAAGGCTAGTGCACTATAACACATTCCTGCGGAGGGAGCTGGTAGGAACGTTGGGTTGCTCGGTCAATGGCCAGGGTCAACGGCGGCGTGGTGTATTCCGCAAATATGCCCGACTGTGAGGGCGGGTACAAGCCGGCGTGAGTAGGTTAAACGTTGAGTTTTATAAGGGCACCACGGGGTGACCAGCCCCTCCCCACCCAGCCCCACCCTCCCCACCCAGCCCCTCCCTGCAGGACGGACACAATAATCCCCTGTGGGCTGGTGGAACCACGGCTAAGGGGCCGTCCATAAATGACGTCACGCGTTTTTGGTCGATTTTTGACCCCCCCCCCCGTCGTCACACGGCGTCACAAAAAGTCAGACCCCCCCCCTCAAATATGACGTCACAAAGCTCTGCCCCCCCTTTCCAAAAAAAACATGCTTCAAATGGCTTTAAACTATTGTCATTGTAGTGCGTATTTAATGTGGCGCTGCAACTCTGATGTTGTAGGAGAAAACATTTATTAAAAAGTCTATTTAATTAAGTGGAACGTGTTGTCTATATTTCTAGATTTGAAGCTTTTGTGACTGCAAGGATTCATATTCTTAGGTTTTTTCGGTAAAGTCACGTAGGTAAAAAATTTTAATTAATAAAAGTAAAATAAAAATAAAATAAAAATCACGACGTTTCGGAGGCAACACAAGCTTCCGTCTTCAGGTGGATATATTTCTATATTTATTTAAAGTTGCGCATTTTGATGTGACGTCACATTTCTCAACCCCCCCCCCCCGCTCGTCACACATCGTCACAAATGTCTGACCCCCCCCCCCCCAGTTGCGTGACGTCATTTATGGACGCCCCCTAATACAATATTATCTGAGACGGATATCACAGAATTCACTGATATCGGCCACATGAAGCAATTGGAAGATGCCACATCAGGAACCTTAATCTGCAAGTGGAATACCGCACTGCAAACCCTCCCGCTGGTGCTCCCTCTAGTGGAGTTTCTTCCGGAGCAGTGCCCGCTAGCAAGCACTTGCACGGGCCGCGCCTTTATCACTGCAGTTTGCGGAATCGTGACCCTGCGAATCGGTGACTATCGATTCCCATTGAGGCGTAACGATTCACGCCACTCTACGATTCCGAGAATCGTCCGCTATAATCGTGAAGAATCGACTTGTTTAAAATCATTCTATTTTCAATCTCATTTGTGCCCCCCCATTGAGCCAAAATATAACGTGTTCACGTAATGTACACCCATCATAACAAACGTCAACCATCTCTCTCGAAAATCTTTCGCCATCACGTCCTGTAACCCTCCCCACCATCCCAGAATCTATTTTTAAAAAATGTCTTCAACAAGGAATCGCGTAATCGATCCAGCCCCAACCAAACAGAAATCCCGCGCTTGGCGTTCCATCTCCGCTTCGTGCGTCCCCCCCTACCCACCCCCCTCCTTCCACCAGAGTCGAGGGCAACAGACGTCAACGACGTCGCCCGGGTCAACTCGACGCCACCGCGACCTCGACGCGACGCGCCTCGCCTCGCCATGAACCTCGAACTCCTGGGTGAGAGTCCGGGCCCAGCGCGCCCTGCGGCCTAGCCGAGCCTAGCCGAGCCTGCGTCTTCAACCTTCACAATCTTCACCGTTCGCGGTCCTAGCAACCGCTCCATTAAGGGTTCATTAGCATCACCTTGAGCCTATGCTCTGTCCACTGCTGCGTGAAGGATTCCTCGGCGGTCATGTTCTATCCACTGCTGCATAGAGCCCTCATCTCAGCCGTGGTCTTTCCGCCGTTGCGTGAAGGCTTCATCATCACTGTAGGCTATTTTCTATCCGACTCGGAACGAAGGATTCATCAGAATGATGATCAGAATGATGCCATGGGCAGTATCATCATGAGCCTTAGTCTATGAATAAGGCTTAACTCGTCGGCTATGGTCTGTCCACTGCTAGATGATGGCAGCGTCATCATGACCTGTGGTCTATTCACTGCTGTTTGAAGGAATAAGCCATTGTCTAACGATTGCTGGCTGACGGCTTCCCCATCATAATAGAAAAAAATTAAGTTTATTGCTAAAATGAGCATTGATGCAATGCTCATCTATTTTCTATAGGCCCGAGCCAGTGGTGGAAATTCCGCATTACCACGGCGGGGGCGAGCCTCTCCATAGCACAATCACAAAGTGGTACCAATTCTATCGCCCCCTGGATGGATGACACTCCCCCAACTCTCAACTGTCCGATTGCACCGCCGAGCCACATCATCATTGTGCATGGTCTAACCTCTGCTGGTGTAAGGAAACATCATCAGCCATGATCTACCCACTGCTGAGTGACGCTCTCGTCGAGAGCTACGGTATATCCACCGCTATATGCAAAAAATGAGCTAAGGTTTATCCGCTTTAGGTTGAATTGTATCGCAAATAGTCAAGTACCGTCTTGAAACTTGAACTTAAGGGTAAGAAACTGAGTGCTCTACTCTACTGTAGGAGCCATTGCGTTGTTGCTTTTTGTGGCTGTATTCTATTGTCATGACGATAATAGCGGGTCACCTACAACCAACTCATACAAGTTAATGATGGTGCTGGACCTTTAATATCCTCTAGCAGTGCAGTGACAGGAATCGAATTGTCATGCAGACTGGTCCAGACGTGAAGGTGCTGGTCAGTATGTCCGCTCAGCTGCGCTGTTCCACCCACATCCTTACCACTGGCAACAAACCACTTAAGTCGATTAAGTGGAGTTTGACTTCCTTATTTATAACAGGAGCTAAACCTGGGAAGGAACACGGCTGTGCCCTTTGGTGGGACCTGTTCTTGATAGCAGTCCGTTTCAGTTATTTAGTCAATGAATTGTTCAGGATTTGCCTCATTGATAAAAAAACTGTCAAGACAAATCAACATCTAAAGCAATGCTGCTCGTGGTCAAGGTGCTCGGTGGATTATTCGTAGGCTCGCGAGAGATGGTGATAACTTAGGGGACCAATATTCAGCAATGGATTGCTGAATATAAGTCTCCCAACCTGTGGCTCCGGAGCCGCATGCCTCTCTATAACGACTGCTTCATGAAGTTATTCACATGCATTGCGGCTCTTGAAATATATAATTTTCTTTTTACCAAAATTCGACAAAAATAGCTCGTCTTGTTATTTTGGTTGCCCACCCCTGGTCATAGTTGATGATGTGTTTCTTGGTGAACATGTTTTGAGTGATATCTGTGGTATTGGCTGTGTACGTGTACATTAATTGTATTTTATTTTTTCATTTTCAGAATCGTTTGGCCAAAACTACCCTGAGGTAAGTGGTGATAAGATGTAAATTGTCTTTAACATTTTTTTGGAATGATTTAAATACGTTTTATGTTTACACTCATCGGAGCAGGCATTTGAGTTTATAACCTATTGGTACGTATGTGTTCCAATGTGATTCGTCACATGGCAACCCATTGGCCTCACCACTCCATGTCGGTCATGGGGTTTGTTGGACCTTACTTCGCCACGCTTGTCAGTGCGGGTTGGTGAAGGATCGGTAAACTGATAATTTCTTTTTGAATTTTTTTTTAAAAGGTGATTTTTGATAATCCTCATTGGTGCACCGTGACCGGTCGACCCACTCTGTGACACAGGAGGCAGATGGCACGTTGGACTGCATCAGCATGGCGCTCACGTGTGCCTTCAACCGGCGCGGCACGCTGCTGGCGGTCGGGTGCAACGACGGCCGCATCGTGGTGTGGGACTTCCTGACGCGCGGCATCGCCAAGATCATCAGCGCTCACATTCACCCCGTGTGCTCGCTGTGGTGGGTGGACTTTGCTCGTAAACTCGTGGTTAGCCAGCCGGACCGCTTGCTGACAAGTTAACGGTGAAGTAACGGTCGTTACTTTACTCGCTCGCGGATCCTAGTTACTGTTTTTGTCTTTGAGCAAGCACTTGGTGAAGTTAACATTTAAGTTGCATTTGATTTTTTTCCTGGCGTTTTTTACATCATCAGCATTTCATATTTATCCTACGCCTCCCATGCAGAAAGAGGTACCGTTCTTGTATTCAGCCATCTCCACATCCTCTCTACAGTTCTTAATGATTAAAATAATTACGGAAATATGTTGTCACTATTCTGTCAATTACTCCATAAAGCAGCATTTTTAATTGGTAATAGATTTTTACTGAGACGTTTTATTATTGTGTTTGCTATTTCATACATTGTGTTTTTTGGAAAGTGATATATTAAAAAAATTAGGGAGCAAGTACAATCACAATATCGCAACCATTAGAAAAATTCACCGTACGAATGTCGTGGACCTGTTTATCGTACAATGCATCTTATTGCCACATCGCGGCAGCCCGTATTATCACAGTCGTTCAAAGCGTCGAACCCTCGCGCGCTTTCCGTCTTCACTGACACACGACTCTCACCCCCCCCCCACCCCCACGCTAGCTGGAGTCGCGATGGACACAAGCTGGTGAGCGCATCTACAGACAACATGGTGTCGCTGTGGGATGTGCTGAGCGGCGACTGCGAGCAGAGGTTCCGTTTCCCCGTGCCCATTCTCAAAGTCCAGTTCCACCCCCGAGACCCGTGAGTTTTTCCCGCGAGCGCGAATCGCCCCCATCTCACTACCTCACTATACTTTTTCCATTCTCGTCGCGTTATATGCAGGCACCGTCTGAAGACGGTTTACACGTGAGTTAGAATGTTCCGACCAATACAGTGTATGCAATAAAAAAATGCAGATGTACAGTATCTTTTTTTATTTATTAGTTGTAGGCTTCAGAGATGAAGTAAGTCTTCAGTCTAGATCGAAACACGGTGTTTGACAGAGCGTGTGTTTTGTTTGTGCAAAGTCACTCGATTGGCCTCAGTGTCATGGAAGATACCACAGATATCTATCTCGTGCTGTTTTATTGCATTCTTACAGTGCTTTCTCAATCCACTAAAAGATGTACACTAGATGAAGGCCTCCTCACGCCGTGTTGGTCACGGAGGAAGGGGTTGTTTGACCACACTTCACGCTGGTCAATGCGGGTTGGTGAAGGTGGGAAATGTAGACTTGGGAGCAATTAATTTTTCTCCAATTCCCTCTGCTGCCAGCAACGTAACAATTTGCATTTAATGTGTTTGAATGGTAAATAGTTGCTTTTCATACGCATGATGTAATGCATTAGAGTGCAAATCAATTTTAATCGATTCATCTATGCATTGTTACGTCCAACTGCTGCTATGGGTGTCTCATGTCCCCAGTCGCCACTCAGAGTATCACAAAATAACAGCCAATGTCTGTGCACATTTCTGAATTATTCGCGCTTTTGTCTGCTGTAAAAGTACTTAAAAGCTTTATGTTTTGACAGTGTTTTCGAGTTATGCATGCGCTACAAACCCCGCAACCTCAGTTTGATTCCTGCTCACGACCAATTACAGCGGTGAATATTTGAAGCGTGTCCTGAGCTTTGCCGAGGTAGACTCAGCCTTAAATGAATAACTGGTGTGGTATGTAAACATCAGTATTGGGGAGACAAAGGCGGCTGAGAATGGTGTTGATGAACACCGCCCCCTGCGTGCTACGCAGGCCTTCATAGATGCTCGCAAACAGCACTTGCGCCTACAATCTGTTATAGTCTACATGCGGGTTCTTTTTGTCTTTATGTGTGTGAAATGGTGAGTGGTGGTGCAGAGGTTCGGGCATTATATAGCCAGGAGATGAAATAAACCCATTGAGACACATGAGACAGCATTCCTCTTTTGCAAGGGTGACCTGGGTGACATCAAGAACAATGTAACGCTATTTGAAACCATTTCAAACTGACTAAATTATGGATTGCACAAACGAAGATACGATGTAAACAAAAACACTTTAATTCATCCCAGCTTCTGTTAACATCAGTGGCTCGTGATATTAGAACTTCCTATGGGTCTCCCCTCTTATCGATCCAGCCATAATTTAGTATCTGGCGCAGTGCGTAAATAACAGCAATTAAATGATAAACGCTATTACATATGGTGCTGGCCACAATCTCTCCTCGCACACCATATCGGTCTTCAGAGATACTCACACGTAGCACTTGCCCCAGCAGTTTGTATACCTATACAGGAGATATTTATCTATTTTGTGTGTGTGTGTGTGTTTTAAAGGAACCGAGTACTCGTGTGCCCCATGAAGTCTGCGCCTGTCTTGCTGACCCTGTCCGACTCCAAGCATGTGTGCCTTCCCGTCGACGATGACTCTGACCTCAACATCGTAGCCTCGTTTGATCGGCGAGGGGAGTACATGTACACCGGCAACGCCAAGGGAAAGGTGCGTGACTTGCTTTTCCAGCTTCATTAAAACACCCGCCCGAGCCGGGTAGTGGCTCGGGCAGATTATTTACACTTGAGTCAGAAACACCGAGCCTGGCTTTGAATCCGGATTCCAGCTGTCTCTTGATTAAACCCAGGTTTTCAAGTGCAGTTGAATTGATGTTGTCAAGCCAGTCACCGATCACAGCACCAAAAAAGGAAACCTTGTTTAAAAAATAATAATAATAACACAGACGCGTAGAGCATGCGCTTGTATGCAATTGTTGTTGTTTGCACTTCAAACTGTGTTCACTTTGCATTGCCACCAGATTCTCGTGCTGAAAACAGACACACAGGACCTGGTGGCTTCGTTCAGGGTCACGACGGGCACAAGCAACACCACTGCCATCAAGTCCATCGAGTTTGCACGGAAGGGGAGGTGAGAGGTGTTCGATGTCATAGCTGCTAAGAGTGGCATCAATCATCTCCCTTGTCGGCTAGCTGATACATCGCGCAGCACAGGTTGTAGTGGTTAAAAATATTTCCTAAATTAGTTCCAGGTGTATTATCGGTGTGATGTCATGAGTTGAAGTGTCAATGCAGAAACTCTGTGCGTGAGAGCATACTATCACCCTGTGTGTTAGAGAATGGTCTGTGGAATAAGCTATCACAATTTTTGCAGAGATTGTTTTCAATTTACTTCTCATACACACTACGGGCGAGGAATTGTCTCGCATGTCCTGCTATGATCATGTTAATTTTGTGGCAGTTAAAATATATATTTTTTCATTGTAGGAGTTTTATTTGACAACAAATTCATTGAAAACCCAAATTGACACCATCTCGCTACACTTAGAAACCTGGTTTAATCATGGATATCTGAAACCCAGATTCAACCCGAGGATCTCAGTGATACCGGCTGAATGCTGCAACCCCTGAGCCATTCAGCCACCATGGTATTCAGAATCAGGTGTTAATGCTGTCCTGGCCTCGTGTGTTTTCATGTTAAAACAGCAGCTGTTTTTTGATAAACACGGCGGACCGGATAATCAGGGTGTACGACAGCCTGGAGATCCTGACGTGTGGAAAGGATGGCGAGCCGGAGCCCATTCAGAAGCTTCAAGACCTGGTCAACAGGTGCCTTGCCACTACCGCCACTCCACTGCGGATTTCAGCACACCTGACCACACACGCCACGATCACACCGCCACACACCCCGTGCACTACCGCACGCTCCACCATACTTCACTTTACACCACCCTCATCTCCCTCGTACACCACCACACTTAACCAAACGCTGTCCCACGCACAAGCACATATGCACGCACCACCATTCCACATATCACCGTTTTTACCATGCTTTCCCACGTACCACCGCACATCACAGCACACATCTATTGACTACAATAAACACCACCACACACTCACCCAAACACCATCACACTTAACCATCACTCCTCCCTTGGATCACCACATACCATAACACCCCTATTCCACTATCTATCACTACACTTCATCAAACACAGACCCCATGCACCCCACACATTCTCCCATGTGCATCGCATCCCGTCTTATCCACAACCACACTTCACCACACTCGCCCACTCGGCCACACACTCTACCATACGCACTGCATCCCTTCCCATCCATAGTCACACTCCACCACGCACTTCCCCGCACACTCCCCCACTTTATGCACCACACTCCCCCCATGCACCACCACACATTCTCCCATGTGCACCGCATCCCCTCTCATCCACAACCACACTCCACCACACACTTGTCTACTCCACTACACACTCTACCATACGCACCACATTTTTTCCCATCCACCGTCACGCTCCACCACGCGCTTCCCCGCACACTCCCCCACTCTCTGCACCACCACGCATGACGCACACCACACCACCGCATTGCCTTGCTCTGTTTGCAGGACACCGTGGAAGAAGTGCTGCTTCTCGGGGGACGGCGAGTACATTTGCGCAGGCTCAGCAAGACAGCATGCGCTCTACATCTGGGAGAAGAGCATTGGCAACCTGGTGAAGATCCTGCACGGCACGCGCGGGGAACTGCTGCTGGATGTCGCCGTAAGTGTCGGACAAACAAACAGCGGTGCCTTCGTTCGCCATGCCAAGCCTCATTGCAATACAATAGGGTGGAGTGGGGGGCGGGGGGCGGGGGGCTTTGACAGTTCATCGATTTGCGGGGTTGTAATCGGCTATTAAGCTCACTTTGTACATGTACAGCCTTTTGGTAAATCCACTGCTGACAGCAGAGGGCAGTGCAACAAAATAAATTGTTGCACTCTGCTTGTGTGTTCCACGCCTGTGCTCCCCTCCTCCACCAATCCGCACTTAACGGCGTGGTGAGTTACGGTTAAATAACCCCAACAACCCGCATGGTGTGCAGAGGCACTCATCCAGCTGTGGATTGACAAAATGGGCTGTGCGTGTGCACATATGCACACTCAGCCAAATGAAGCTGTTGTGACGTTGAGTAAAATAATTGATTGCATAGGAGTCTTGCAAGGAAATACTTTTGACATTTTATTTGTGCTATTTTAATTTCTGCGCAGTGGCATCCCGTACGACCAATCATAGCGTCCATATCGAGCGGCGTGGTGTCCATATGGGCCCAGAATCAAGTGGTACGTTCCCAGCCTCGACTGACACACTACCACTACGCAGCACCGCATAGCGCGACATCAGCTTACAGTCAGAGCCAGTAGCGCAACTAAGTGAAGTAGGGTTCGCCGCAATGCCCGTGGGTGTGTGTTTCTCCGTGGCAAGGAAAACTGGAGTGCTTTCGCACCGGACTTTAAGGAGCTGGACGAGAACGTGGAGTACGAGGAGAGGGAGTCGGAGTTCGACATCGAAGATGAGGACAAAAGCGAACCCGAGATGACGGGTAGCCTCCGAAGCAAACCCTTTAATCGTTGTCCGCTCGTTACGCTGCCCTCGCAGTCTGGAATTCCCTCCCCCTGGATGCGTGCGCTCCTGTCTCCACCTGTCCAAGTCCAGGATTAAGGCTTTCCTCTTCTACTCCGCCCGTGACTGTCTCTCACGAGGAAATGTCCTCATTGTCATCTTTACCACGCTATCGTATTTCTCCTGCACTGTAGCTTTATAGCCATTGTGTTCTCCATCCGAAACAATGTGAGCGCATGTCTCCTTATTTGTGCAAGTGTCATTCAGGTGTGGTTGCATGTAGATGCTCCATAAATCTAAATTAGAATTTTTTATATAGAACTATTATCATCTCTTGTATTTGCATGCAAGTAAAGACCATTGTAAAAATGTACAGAAAAATAAAAAATTTCAGAATCACCTGAAAAATGGCTCTTCACGAATGATTTCCAGAATTGATCATCCTTCTGCTAAACGGGAAATGTCTCTGGGACAAAATGCTACAAGGTGGAGCTTCGTGCTTCTAAGATTATGATGATTTCAAGCTCACAACTTTACACAACATCCAGTATTATTTTAAATCACTTATATTAAATATTTTTTTAAATTAAGAACCCCAGTTGGGCCTGCTGAAGGTTGAGGTTTCGTGCCGCTTACACTTTTTTTCCTTCAAGGAGCCGACGCGTTGGAGGATGAGGAGGTGGATGTGACGAGCGTGGACCCCATAGCAACCTTCTGCAGCAGGTGCACATTCATTGCTGTGTTTTGTTAATCATTTTTTTGTAGGATCACTGGTTGCAATCACTATTAATGTAATTTTAAAGAAGGAAAATGTTGCCTTAAAAATTGTTTGCACGTGGAGTCCGTGGCTCGTTCACTCAATGGAATGCATCTGAGTTTGTAGGGGGGGGGGGGGGAGTCGGGCAATAAATGTCACACGAGAGGGAGAGCAGGGGAATGAGATGTTGACGTTGGGGATTTCGTGTAAAGAAAAACTCGACCCAGAAAACGAATATCACTCTGCGACTCGCACCTCGGCTCTGTTCCAAGCTGTCTTACATGAGTTCATGAAAAACAAGAATGCTTTAAAGTGACTGAGGACACAGGTACCAGAGTATTCTTGGTTCTTTCGGTAAAGTCACGTAGAAGGGAAATAATAAAATAATATAAATATAAAACAATTAAAATTATCACGACGTTTCGACTGCAACACAAGCAATCATCATCAGGTGTGAAATCCAAAGCAAGAAAATTTTGTTATATATTTGTATTATTTTATTATTTCCCTTCTACGTGACTTTACCGAAAGAACCAAGAATATGAATCCCTGCAGTCACGAAAGCTTTAAATCAAAATTTAGGTACCAGAGTGTTGTCACGAACTTAGTGCAATAGTGATGTCAATAAATAACTGTGTTCCACAAAAAGGTGCAGTAGTGACAATACAGTAATTACTCATTGGTTCTTTCAGTAAAGTCACGTAGAAAGAAAATAAATTAAATAATAGAATACGACGTTTTGATTGCAACACAAGCAACCGTCATCAGGTAGGCATGAATGAGAAAACAAACCTAGTAAACTTAGAAGTATAATGCAATACAACACAGAGAGTCGGCTAACACAACAGTCAACACCCTACCTGGTTGATTACATTCTTCCAAAGATTGCTAAATTTGAGAGAGACAAAACACAGGCACGGAGACACATAGACAGACACGGAGTGTGTCTGTGTGTGTATCTCTTTCTGCTTGTGTTGCAATCGAAACGTCGTATTCTATTATTAAATTTATTTTATTTCTACGTGACTTTACCGAAAGAACCAAAGAGTAATTCCTGCAGTCACGAAAGCTTCAAATAAATACAGTAATGTTTGTAGATCTTGCTATGGCAAGCTTATGAAATTCAAGTTTCGCGTCTTTTTATTTCGTGAACAAAGCTTCAAACTCTTACTAGATGGCATGGGACACACTGGATAGGTATATAATGTACGTGATATTTTTTGGCTCTCGTCTTCATTGTCCATAACACAATAGCGTCTTGCCTTGCCGAGTCGTTCGTACCCTAGTCGGTCACGTGACCTCCGAGTTTCTGACGCCGTCCTCATTGATGCCTTTGTCGCACAGCGACGAGGAGACGGAGGACTCGCACGCTCTGCTCTACCTGCCCATCTCGCCTGAGGTGGAGGAGCCCGAGGAGAACCCGTACGGACCTCCTCCAGACGCCCTGTCGGTCAGTGTTGCTCCCAACTGACCAACCCTTGCGGGCAGCTTGCACTCCTATCTCTTTATTTTCCCTACCGTGTGTCATCATCCTCACATATTCATTGACATCGCACCTCACACAAGTATAAAACAGATTCCTATACGCCAGCACAATTCAAAAGCTCAATTGAACAGAGCAATGCACATAGGAAACACACTACCGGCAGCAAACAAGCGAGCGGTTTGGTGGTCTGGGTGTAGCAGAAATTGCTCATCAGTCTGTTGATGGATGTACGGGGACGTCCATCTCTTTGCGCGTGTGAATGAGCAGACACCCGGGGCGGACGAGCCAAGCAGCCAGGACAAGAAACGGCCGGCGTCGTCGGAGGGGCCGCTCTCGCCCAAGAAGAAAAAAACGAAAACGACCAACGTGGAGCTGCAGGGGGTCACGCCTGAAGGTGCGCTCACTAACTCAGTCACTTGCGCGCTCACTCACATGATCACTCACTTGTGCGGTCAATTGCTCACGCACTCACTCGCATGCATGATCGCACACTCACATGCTCACTCGCTCGCTCACTTACATGCTCACTCGCTCAGGTGTTGCTACGCTCCTCGCTAGCATGTTCACTCATTTGCCTGTTTTGATGGTCACCGCTGACATTAATTCACTTCTTGCTGTCTCATTGCCCAGGTTGGCAGTAGTTAGAATGCACAACTTTCAATTAGACGCTTGTAAATTCAAATCCTGGTCAGGGATCGCCTTTCATCCCCTCCAGTCAATAAAGTGAGTACCGTTTTGTAGGAAGTTAACAGCGGTTGACTCATGGGTTCACTTACTCCCACCATAATGTTTATCTTCTCCCAATTGCTCAGGTTAATCGTTTTGGATGAGCAAATCCCAATTCTGGTTTAACGTCTAGACTCGTCAGCTATTATACATTTTAGGTAAAGGTGGGTAAGGTAAGATGGTATTGACCCTTGATTGCATGGGGAGTAGGGAATCGACAGCACGGATAGCTGGGGCGAGGGACATTTCAGACCATCGTGGGGGCAGCAGTGGAGAATGAGTGACCATCATCATCACCATTAATTATTAACACTGCAACTCCCATGCAGTACATCTGGAAGTGCCAGAATATAGGGGCATTTAGGATAGTAACTTGAGAATGGCTGTAAAGAAGTGATTGCAGACCAAATACAATCGCAGCTCTGCCCTCTCACCTCCCCCTGCTCCCCCTGCCCAGAGCTGCACCCGCTGTTGTGCGTCAAGGGTGATGGGAAGAGCAAGAAGAAGCCGGCGGGGCGACCCAAAGGGATGAAGACCAAGGACCCGACACCGGGAAAACCCAAGGGGCCCAAGGGGGACAAGGGCCGTGGCCTGGACGGCAGCAGTAAGGGCAGGGACCTTATGGACAAGCTTGAGTCTTCCGGTGGTACGCTCCGCTAACGCGCGCACGCACGCACACGTGGGGGTGGTGCGGAGCAGAAGTCTGCGTCGCCTAAGCCTACCTTTCCACAGCAACCAATCTTATTTGTTGAAATGCCAATTAACCCTTTCCCGTTCCGAGACGTCTGTTGCAGGGTGGGTCTCGTTCACCGCTGAATCTCGGGAACGCGCAAGCGGTTAGCATTAATTTGATTGCGAGAGGCATAGCACCGCTGTTTTTAAGGACATTGTACTCACTGCAAAGAACTGTAGCAACACAACCGCACTGATTGCTGGCACCAAACTGTGCCACATACCCTCCCCGTATATCCTTGTGGAAGCCTTGGTACTGATGTTATTATATTTTTTTCTACAATAACAATGGATGACGTACACGTACGTCGTCGGAATGGGTTAAGTTGTTCCAAAAAAATCCACACGCAAGATCGCTACCTTATTTTGAATCGGCAGGCGCGTGCGGCATGTAATAGCTTCATTTGTATAAGAACTGAGATTTGTAAACAGAAAGTGGACCATGGTGGGTTACAGGGACTGGAGTTTGAAAAACCCTACACTCGTCGGATTAAATCTGATCTAGTAATAGGTTTTTACCCTTTCAACTGGTACAAAAACTGACACCTTTATACAAGGCATCATGTTTGCAATAACCACAACACAAGCAGTCAAAATGCAAACAAAAAGAAACAACTCTGATGATGATAATGATATGCACTGTCCTTGAAGTTGATTGGTCCCCACCCGAGACAGCTTCTCCTAGAGCCTAGTCTCCATTGGTGTTGGACCAGATGACGCCAAAAGGCGTACAACTCAAAGACAGTGCACTATCAGAGTATTGAGAGCTCGGGGTAAGCATTTACACTGAGACCTCCTTTACCTTTAAATCTGATCTATCAACCCCAACCTGTCACCTTTAACACCAGTTTATTTGTTTTTGTATGTTTTAGGTTGCGGTGGACATGTAACACGCGGTACAACCCAAAAACACATCGGAGAGATACAGAGCCCAACCACGAATATTTATGCTGTTTCTATTTTAGCCTGATAACAATAACCCATTTAATAAGTACACTGCTTCCTGAAATAAAAATAATAATACGTGGTGTTGTATACAGGCGATTTGATTTTCTCTTTTCTCTTGTAGGTGGAGGAATGATGGTGGAGACGATGTAAGGTGTGCCGAAAGAGGGCATCTTATTTACGACGCTCATCCTCCAGATTGGGAATATCCCCTTCGGCCTTGATGAGAGCCCAGATCAGGAAATGTCAGCAGGATGGGCCCCAGGGTTTCATCCCGTTGAGCAGAAAGACACGAATCTTACGTATTTTCTGGACGAAGAGTGACGGAATGGACAATGAAAAAAGCCGAGCGAGCGTGCCGCTACTCACTGATGCTTGTGAAATCGTTTTTGTATATACTTTACAGACTGACTTGGAGACTTTTTTTCATTTCTAAATAAAAATGTATGCTTAAGGTACTTTGCCAATCAGTCTCATTGTATACAGTACAGTATTTCTTACTTGTCTTAGAGCTTTTAAAGCAAGCGAACTCGTCCGACTTGCTGTAATTATATTTTTGTGGACTTTTTTTCTTAAGAAACAGGTTGACCGCTAACTTGTTTAGAGCAGCACTCTCATAATTGAGCCCCCTGAAATAAAGAGTGCTTCATGCAAGCGTTACTCTTAACTTGTCACCGTTGTTTTTTCCCAAGCTCTGCGTGCTGCAGTCCTTGACGATAACCCTGCCCCCCATATTTTTATTTACACTGCACTGTCTTGACTTGTGAATTTCCTCGAGTGATGCAGTATACGCAGCTGGAGGTGCTGATAAATCAGCCAGTCGCATTTTTGTATTTTGACTATAATGGTCTTGCCTGTGAATGTTCTCACCATAGCCCACTGTAAAGTGGAAGCAACGTAATCCCTTCCTTGCTGTGCAACATTTCGTGTCCATGCAATTGAACCCAGGCAGCCATTGGTGGTATTCGCTGTGGAGCTGGACTTACCAGTGTCCACCCAAGTGTAGAGCTGGGAAAGCCGATTGAGTAATTGATTACTCCCCTTATTATCTGTTCTATTATGTAACGGATTATATAAGGCAGTTTCTCTACCATTAATGCAATTTTTAACATGTACAATATTTCAGATATACATTATGACGGAGGTGAGAGGCCTATTTTTCAGTGTTGATTAAAGTCCAGGCAAAAGTGATGGGGCCTTGAAGTGTCTCTTAAAAGTCGGTGTAGATTGAACGCCACTGCGAATGTGCAGTGGGATGGCTTCCCAGATGGCAGGGGCTGCCGCCACAGAGAAACGACACCTGGCAGTGACGGTCCTGGTCCTTGGTGTAGCAAAGAGGTTGTGAATTGCTCTGTGAAGAGTGCTACTTTGAAGCAGCATGCATATTCCAACACATGCCACTGGACAGGCAACATTGGCATCATCAGCCACATCACACGGTGCAGCTAAGGGGTGCCTGACTTCGAGAGGCTGGATGTGGAGGTTCCTGCCATTTGAAAAGGGGCCCCTGAGTAATTAACCAGAAAATTAGTAGTGTTGCAATTTTTTTACATCGATTATGCAACTGAACATCCCATCTGAAAGCTGGTGGCTTCGGCTGTGTGAACCTGCCGACAACATTGATTAATCTCCCCTTCAATGGCATCATGGTGTGGTGCAGTGGTTAGCTCATTGCACTGAATCTGCCACTCAAGTTCAATTCCTAGCCACAAGTAATGTCTGAACCCCATGGCAGACAGGTTTTGGGCAGACCTTCAGCAATGGAATGACAAAAGGGCTGTAAGTGAAGTGGCCATTGAGCCCATGGGGATTGTCCACAGATGAACACTGGTGACTTGTACAGCAGGCTTTCACAAGGGACCAATTTGTTAATTTAGTAATATAAGCATGATACAATGGCCATTGATTTCGGTTGTAAAAGAACATTTCTATCTCCCAGGCTTCTTGAGGTGGATAAGCTTGTTCATACCCATTTGGGACCATTGTACCATTGTTTACCAAGTCAGCCTGTCACCATTCACTTCTCTAACCCAACAATTGAGTTAACTAGATTTAGGGTCATGATCCGATTCCTGATTCGATTATTTGTCTTGTTCCATCGAGTCGACTCGGTTTTGTTTGTGCCATCTCGTATGTTTGGTCCGATTATGAAAATTAGCTCAACATTTTTTTTCAGAAATTCAAATGGCAAGCATAATTCAATGTTATGTACCTTAAGTGCAAAAAAACTCATGCATTTTTACTTCCACACTTTGAAACAAGACCCCATTTTTGTACTTTCGAAACTTGTTTTGTGGCAAATAATTGACATACCACACTTAACCACTCGGGGCAAACCCGCAGCACTGACCACACATGCAGTTGTACAAAATGTACAGGTTTATTCTTTTTTGGTGTGTGGGCATATGTAGTACATTAACTTAAGAGCAGCACAGAGTTTGAGAGTTGGAACAAATCCTTAATGCTACACAAACCTATCCGATTCGATTAGTATACATTTCCACTTTCAAAACCACTAACTGCAGCCTTTTACACTAAATTATAACATTTTGGTCGGCTTACATTGGCCCACAAACATTAAACTACAGTATTAATGCATCAACAAACAACTACGTCAACATATACCTCTGCATTTTCCGCGAGCCAAAGCACCACTTATATGATGACAAACAATCTTTACAATGGTTTACAGAATGTTTCCACAACTCTACTATTAAAAAGGCATACTTGTAACAAACTGTATTTTCTTTTTTAATCTGTAGAGTGCACCCATTTTGCTTGTTGACTTGTCACGAGGTTTTTTTCTTCAACCATGTATAAAATACCAAAAGTGACATGTAATGCTTTTAAATTTCCTGACCAGGAATATGGCTTCAGCATACCATATTTCAATCATTAAAGTTGTGTTGCGAGTAGTTTTTAAGAAACATGAAACATTTTAAATTCAAACTATAAAACACCACACCAACAATAACAGCCATGCCTCTTCAGTGAATTGTGAAATGCTGCAAATAATTAAGGTTTTTTTTTCTGCCACACCTTACAACTCCTTTAAAAAAATCTCCTTGCAGCGACTCATTAAAATATAAAATATACACAAAAATTAGTTATTAACTTGTGACCGTAGTGCCTGTACACCTGCCTCAGACTTCAGTTGGCTAAACCGAAGAGGTTGAGGTGAGGACGGAACGACATTTAAACCCACCGGTCACAATCCCCTTGTTCTCTGCGGGAATATCACGGCATTCAAGCAGGCGAAATACAGCGCCTAGTTTTGCTTTGTACAGTCGGGATGCCCCTGAAAGGCCCCGTCACGTCGAGAGGTTTCACGTAAAAAAAACGATCAAACCTACGTCACAACTCAACCTTGGGAATCCAAGTACAGCATTACGTACCTGTACACCACCATGGGACATTCACAGTCTGTGAATTAGAATGAAATGTGTTTTAAAGTGTTAACGGTTTGCATTCGTTTGTTTTGAAGCCACACGGTGGTACTGCCAGATGGAACTGAATTTCCTGTACCCTTGCGTCCTGTAATACTGTTGCCGAACAACATACTCCCAACGTGCTCTCAATATCACCACACAGGAGATGAAGATAAGAGGCATTTCTGTTAGTTGCGTCAAGTTTGGGAAGTAAAAAAAAAAGCTTTTGTAGGCAATTTTACGGTTGGGGTACGATTTATGCAAGTCAACCTGAGTGTATCGTCACGCTGCCTGAAGTTTCATTATTTTTTCCATAAAGGTCCAGAAAGTGGGTTAATGCTGCACAATGCAGGGGGAATACTTAAGTTGTGAATTTAAGCATAAGCCTACAGCAACCGCTTCAACTGTCTTCAAACTCGCGACAACACCGCTCCTTCACAACAGGCGCTTTAATTGCCATCGTGAGAGCCACCATACTGCGTTGAGAGCAAAGAGGGGGGGGGGGGAGGAAACCAGATTCTCCTGGGCGGATGGCGCAATGCGAAAAATATAAAAAACACTTCAACTAAAATTATTACACAATGTACACGATGACCGACTTGCCTTGCCTGCTCATCCCTTAAAATTCCCCTGCACCTTTCACCCTTCCCACCGAGACAGACAGCCTCGCTCACCCCTCCACGGTCACTCCGTCTCGCTGTTAAGTGACACAGAGTCACCTTTGGGGGATGATGCTCGCGATGACTGCCCCTTCTCTCCCGGCGCTTCTGAGCCCGAGCCTGCATGTGCTGCCACTGTCGACATCGTCGAATCATCCACGCAGCCGCCCCCTGGTGGTGCCGGCGGGTTTACCGCTGCCGAGGATGTTGTTGAGGAGGAGGAAGAAGACGAGGATGAAGATGAGGAAGACGATGACACGGACACGGCTGATGCTGGCGGTGATGATGACGATGAGGTGGAGACGGACCGCGGCTTCTCTTTGAAGTCGGTGATGATGACGGTGAGGTTGCCCACAGTGACGGCGAGATGCTGGGCGCTCTTGCGGTCCACGTTCTTCAGCCGCGGCCTGCCAGGAGCGAGTGCAGGGCAAGCCACCACACGGTTAGGTTTGTGACTTTGTGACTGTTTCGGTGCAAACGGCTGTGATGAAATGGTCCCTCTTTGTACTTTTCCAGAAATTACTGGCAGCCAATGGGGCCAGCTGTAAACGAAAGTTATGATAGCCGATTAAAATTGATAATTATACTCGCTATATATGTATTCATATGTGCGTGTGAGAATCAATTAGATTAATATACTCATGTAGGTGCTAGCTGGACTGTTGTTAGATCACAGGACGTGAAAGATGGTGATGACTTTGGGAGGCCTTAATCTCGTGGTAAATTGATCATGGCTGATGGTGATGTTAATTTAATTCACCACTAACTATTTTAATGCATACCACTCCAGATTCCACAATCTTGACAATTAATTGAACTAATTGTTGGAGGGGGTTAAATTGTTACTGTCCTACAATTGCTGGCCATATTTCTGTTTGATGACAATTATATAGTTGCAGATAAACAATTTGGTGATATGATTGAAGCACTATAAAACACCCGCACAGGTGGATTACATGTAAACATTGATCACTCATTGTAGCAAAGATTTTCATTTTGAGATAATGCTGCAGCTCAATGCAAAACATTCTTTGGAATTCTCAGCGTAGCCGTTGATAATTATTTCTGAACGGTGCAGCACGACTAAGTTGTAAAAAACTTGTTCACAAGAACACTCCGTTCTGAAGTCCGGAATTTAAATTGGTAAGAGAGCAATTGGCTGTGTCGCCATTGAATTAGTCGTCCAAATCGTGCCGCAAGACTTTGAAAGCCCTTCCAGGACACATCAGTGATGATTACAGTATCCTGGCATTTAAGCATCCAAGTCAATTCCTCCGGGAGTATTCTACTTGGGAGATTGTTCAACATCAACATTTTCAAAAGGTGTACCAAGGGGACCTTTTTACATTAATATATATCTCCACTAGCATACATGCATGAAATTGTCAATGCCCAGATAAACAATAAATCTCCGTGTCAGCATTAATTTGATTTTGAAAAGCGTACATTAAAAAAATATTAACCTATTTATCTATTAATGTTTGACAGTCTGAAATACTCCATTGAGACGTTTGGCGAATTCAATTTTAAGAAGTACCCGGAGATAACCCACAACTCACACAAGGGAATAGCA